ATCTGATACAGAGCATAGGCCCCATGGGTTCTCAGGGAGTCCCAGCCTCCCAGCCCAGCTGCCGCCTTCCTTTATAGCCTCCCGAAAGCCTGGTTTGCACACTCGACCCTGAAACCAAACCCTCTTCCCGCAGACCAGCTGCCTGGTGTGAGCCTGCCACTCTGGGAAAAGCTGTCCCACGAGAGGGAGAGCTCATCACTCCTGCCTTGCTTGGCCCTCACTCGGCTGAGAAGTGGTTACTGAGTTCCAGCAGCGCCTCAGAGCCAAAACAGTCAGGAATGTGAGCACCTGAGCATCCACCAATCCCAGGATCATGGTCCAGCCCTGCCACTTTCTAGACATGTAGGTGATCTGGAGGTCATGAAATCCCTTCTCAGGGTCTCAGTCTTCTCCCCATGTGAGACGGGGCCACACAGGGTCTTCATGTTCCCAGGTCTAACCTGAGCATTGTTTTAGAATCCCGAGACAGAGCAAATGTCCCCGTGCCACTTGGGTCTTTGATGGCACAGCTCCCTACACAGCTGGGGTGTAGACTGGCTGGGGGTGAGGGGCAGGCTTCTCGGATTCTTTGGAGCTTCACTGTCAGCTGGTGGCCGTTTGGCTTAGGGCTCTTTCTTAGGAGATGTGTCAGACACTCCAAAATACATGCAGGCAGGCATGGTGTACTCCCTGTTCCTCCTCACAGTATTGACTTCCTGATACACACACACACACACATATACACACATACACACACGTGTGCATTTGTGGAGACATGTATTCCCAGCATATTTATTCAACAGCTGCTACAGGCCTGGCATTTTCCCAAGGGTTTGGGCTATGGATCTAGAGTGAGCAAAACACTGCCTGAGGGCACAGGCAGTCTTGCCAAGCTCCTGTTTTATGGCACACACCACTTACTTCCCAGGTGTATTAGTTACTATTCCATTCCTGTGGCATAACACCCAACAAAAGCATCTGGAGTCCGTCATGGCAGCGGGAAGATGAGGTCAGTTGGCACGCACAGTCTGGAAGTAGGGAGACACGGATGGATGTTGGCGCTCAGCTCACCTCCTTTTTGTTCATGCCGCCATCATGTGGGGGTGGGGTCCCCTCAAGCACATGTCCAGATCCTAGTTCTGCCAAGCTGACAATCAGTACTGAATGTCACACTAGCCTTCAGTGCCATCTTAATAGTGGCTGAGTAATTGTTAGCCCAGAGACCCCCAAAATGTGCCATCTGTTTCTTTGTAGAAGCTTGACAGTTCGTTAGCAGGTCAGCGTGAAGGAGTGGGGTCTGCCTTATTCAGTTTCATCTCGGGATTCATCTAGAAGGCATGCTAAGCAAAGACACAGTCAGTACGGAGTGTCTCTTAGTGCACCTTCAGCCAGTTTGCCATGGAACCTTCTAGATTTTTTTTTTTTTTTTTGCTTACATTCATGTGTACTTGTTTGTTTAGACAAAACTACTTTCCTGGCACATTGTTGCTGAGACTTTTTTAATTCTGAGTTTGTGTTACCTAGTGTTCAAGACATCTCTCTGTGGTGGCAGACATTCTGTGTGAGTGCCGTTTTCATCTCAGCCTGGCCTCCCTATGTAATGTTCCATGGTCCCCACCCTCTTCAGCGCTCAGGCTGTTGTTCCTGTTTTGCACTGATGGCAGTCCTGCAGGGAGCGGCTGTGTTCTGGAACCTGGCAACTGTCCTTGCTCATCTCCCTGAGATGAACTTCTGGAACGAACCCTGTTGATTCAGCTAAACCTGCAGGTTTTAAATAGGCAGACATATGTTCTAACTTGTTTGAGCACAAACCTTAGAGGTGTATGCTAGCTTGGTCTAGGCACAAGCCTTGGGGAGGAGCTCCCACTCACTGTGGTCCTAGTGCCTAGTGAGTTGCTGGGCCGAGCCAGTGGGCTTTTAAATCCCAGATTCCTGAGGGGTCCAAAGCCTGTGTCCTTATTAGAACCTCCTGGAGCCTTGTGAGAAAGGTGGAGCAAGCAGGTATTGTCTGGGGGTCTGGAGAGAGTTGTGGATCCCGCAGATGGAGCCCCCGTCTTCCAGGCTCTGCCTTTCACCCATCTTGGAAACTTAGGGCTACATTCTGCTCAGTTCCCGTGCCTCAGTTTCCTTGTCTGGCAGTAAAGTGCAGAGAGAGTGGCTTCTGAGGAACCTCCTGGGTCTGATGTCTAGGATTTGGTTCCTCTTATTTGGAGTTGGCAGAACTGTTGCAGGGATTTGGGTGTTGCTACCATCTGACCTAGACCCAGCTCTCCTGCCCTCTTTCCCATTGCTTGTGTATGCTTTTTAGTGCTTACTTTTGCTGTTTTTAAATTCTTGAGACAAGGTCTTGCAAAGAAGTTCTGACTAGCCTAGAACTCACTATGTAGCCCAGACTAGCACTGAATTCACGGCAATCCACCCTGTTTCAGTCCCTGAAGTGTTGGGATTACAGGCATGAATCAACCCCCACCACACATAACAATGTCACCAGGACCACAAGCTCTCTTTTGCAGGTTCTTTGTCTCTTATATAAAAACATTTAAGAGGGGATTCATTCTTTTGGGGTTCGAGAGAGGAAATGACAGTGCGGGGGAGGTGGAGGCCTCACAGCGGTCTGCAGAAGGGAGATGGGAAAGGAGAGAGGAAGGGCCTGTTTTCTCAGCTAGAGGCTGGGAAGGCAGGACTCAGCATTCAGTCACTGGAAATCAGGAATCTTCAGATGGAAGGAGCGTGAGGCTCTGGGCAGGGGAGTTAAGATCTGTGCTGCAGAGGGAAGGAGCCTCTGGCTTAGCCTCTGTGAGCCCCTGCAGTGAGAGAGGGGCTTCTTCAGGGTGCAGCTGTTCCTTCTGCCTCCTGTCCCTCTTTCAGGTACTTCCTGTCTCGTTTACCTTCTCCTGAAATGACATTTCCCCCTTATCACCAGAGGCCTCAGCAGCTGTCTAAGTCAAACTTTTGCAAAGGGCCACAGCAACTCACAGTCGTGTCCTTTACGTAACAAGACATCACCATTCCTGTCTCAAAAGAAAGCTCTTGGCAGGTGAGGCCCCTCTTGTCTATGTCAGGATGCTGTGGCCACAGATTGTGCCATCTGCACCAGAAGAACATGGCAGAGATGTGTTCTGGCCCCGGTGACACCTGGGAGGCTGCTTCAGAGGCCTCTGCTCTCCCAGCCTCACTCATGGTTGGTGAGCTTGGGTAGAACTGAGACAAGACTCAGTAGGAGGTCTTGCCTTCAAGCAAACGCTGAATGTAAGATTTTCTAGAAAGCTTAAGTGTTACAAGTTCTCTGGGAAGTGGCTGACGTAGGGCCTTGCAGCTACGAAAACTGTCAAGAAGGCCATGACAATAAGGTGGGATGGAGTTGGGGAAGGGCTGATCTGTAACATTTGCTCATAGCAAGTCCTAAGTTCCAGGGAGGATTCAAGGGTTCCAGGCCCTCGAATGTGGCCCATGACCTTGGATATAAAAATGCAAACATGGTCCCAGCTGGAGCCATCCACTATGGCACAGCATGTGTAAGGTCAGTCCCCTGTGCTACTGCAGGCTGGGGCAGACATCAGCCTGTCTCAGACACACTGTGCTCAGCAGTGTCTAGGGAAGTGTTCACAGAGATGATAATGACAGCCCGAGGATGCACACCCTGTGGCTGATCCTGAGTGTAAAAACAACCAGCTGCTTAGAAGTCACCGTCCTTGGTCCCACACAGTGGGGTGTTCTCTGGCCAACAAGGACCATGTGGAGAGACTGACCCACAGAAAATCCCAGACCAGAGTCAGTCATGGTGTTTCATTTGTGTAAAAATGTTCCCTGGGATGTGTGTGTGTGTGTGTGTGTGTGTGTGTGTGTGTATGAGTGAGTGCGTGCATGTAGTCCTGACAGAGACTCTACCACTGAGCCCCTTCACCCCAAACCCCCATTATAACTCCTTTGCAATGGAGGTGGCCCGAACTGAGACCACCTGGGCAGGCTGTTCCTCCCTGGTGCTTGTGTATTTCGTTGCTGGGCTGTAAGGGTCTGAAGAGGAATGAATGAAGCCATGCCAGGATGATCTTCCCTCTCCTCCCCCACCTCCAGAGTCCTCATCCAAAGATGCTAGCTGGGAGTGTCACGAAAGGCCAGGGCGACAGTTCATCTGGATCACTGTGAGAGAGTAGCCCACACAAGACCACTTTTGGTTACTCTTGAGAGATCCAGGGTATTAGTGGCTGGTTTCCATGGTGATGGTACAAGACAAGGCCTTGCATGTACCACCCAAGTGGGGAAGACAGCAGCACAGGTGTCATGGTGACTCATGAGTCACCCAGATGTCAGGCGCTAGACTGGGCTGGTAGCCAGCTCTGTGATGACCTGTACCCCTGCTTCCAACCTGTATGTCACACCACCAGTCCAGGATGTCACTTTCTCGGCTGTGAAGTAGCATTGTACTGAGCTCCATAAGGTGGGCCTCAAGTCAGCAGTGTGTCTTGCTATAGACTCAGGGTCACTGTGTTGGGCAGGGACACTGACAGGGCTAGGTGACACACAGCAGGATCCTGTACCTGGTTATGTGTTAATCACTTCTCTTACCACTGGATAACAGGGAGGTTTTCTCTGCTCACCATTCCAGAGCACATAGCCCACTGTGGAGCAAAGATCTCGGGCTGCCTGGACCGTGTGGGGAGACTGTTTGTTCGTATCATGGAGGATCTGAAAGCAGAGAGCTTGGGTGGGAAGCAGGACAGACTCACTTGAGGCCTCCTCCAGTGCCCATACCGCTGATTAGTCCTTATGTCTTAAAGATTTCACAGCCTTCCTAATGGGGACAAAGCATTCACACAGAGACACTAACAGGGGGCATTTCACACTGGACCCTAAGACACATTCCGTGCCAGAATGCCCTTCTGAACCCGGAAGTGCTGCTTCCTGTCATGACTTGGCAGATAGGGCATTGGTCTGTCTCCTTTGCCCTGACATGGGCAGCAGGGAACTGGGTGCTGTGGGGTGGTAGGATTGTACCTGAATCCCTCCTCATGTCTTTGCAGAACCAGCTGAAGCAGTGCTTCTCCAGGAGAGCACCTGAAACCAAGGATACTGACACCCTTGTTCACGAAGCCGACAGCCAGTATGGAACCTGGGCAGATCAACACCAGAATGGAGGCAGGTAGGAACACACCTGGGTGAGGCTCCCAGGTACCAGTTGACACAGAGGGCGCTGTGTCTGCCCTGGTTAGGTGTAGACAAAAGTTTCTGTCCCTCCTGGTCCCACAGTCATTCAGTCCCAAAGAAAAACACAGAGACTTATGTTAATTATAAATTGTTTGGCCTATTAGCTTAGGCTTATTATTAACTAATAATATTAACTAACTCTTACAACTTAAATTCACCCATAATTCTTGTCTATGTTTAGCCACGTGGCTTGGTACCTTTTCTCAGTAAGTCTTGCTTTCTCTGGTTCTGGCTGGTGACTCAGTCTCTGCTTTTCCTCTTCCCAGATTCTCCTAGTCTGGTCCTGCCTATACTTCCTGCCTGGCTACTGGCCAATCAGTGTTTTATTAAACTAATACAAGTGACAAATTTTTACAGTGTACAAGATCATTGTCCCATAGCACTTCCCCTTTTTTCTTTTCAAAACAAGAACTCTGAATCTAATCTCCTTTGTTTAGCTTTTTTCTTCACCATTATCCATAACAACTGTAACTAACACGCTAAACAAAGACAAACATCCATAATCCATTTTTGGGGAATGTGGGTGTAGTTCTCTAGGCTACTTCCTGCTGATTGGGGTGCTGATAATCTTATGGGGACCCAAAGAAAATTTAGTATTATGGTCAAGTCTGGACTGGAGTACTCTGTGAGGCCGAATCATCTCAGCCATCAGTCCTGAGACTTTTCTGGATATAAAACTCAGAGGAAATTGCTACAGAGGTGCTCTGAAATGTTGGCTCATCTGGGCCATCAGTTTCCATTGGAGATTTTCCTTGATCAAACCTTTTTTTTTTTAAACCCAGAATGAATCCACAGCCTCTCATTAGCTGTGGAAACAAAAGCAAAACCTCTTCTCCAAAGTAACATACCTTTTGACTTAAATTTTGAAGGATTAATCCAGCAACGTTTATAAGCAGATATCTTTGGGCAGCTGCAGCTCCTTCCTCAGCAGTCAAACAATGCAAACACAACACAATAACATACAGTATCCAGACTCTGTATTTCCGGGAATCTTTATGTGGCTTTTTTTCTTACTCTATTTCTTTTTTAAAGGACTTTCTCTATCCTTTTTCTTTTCTATTCTAAGCCTACATATATTCTTAAACACACTGTAAAATGTTCTAGGGTTTTTTTTTCCCCCGTCTAAATCTGCCTTTACTGTGTATCTCTATCTTTTTCTGACCACACGAATCTTTAATCTGCTAAGCAGCATGGCTAGGTTTAAAGCAGCAGCTTTGGAGGCTGGCTCCACCCATTCCTTGGCTTCCTGAGAGTCCATCTTCATGGCGGAAGTATTGACAGGAACCATGTTTATTGCTACAACTCTGGAATTTCTAGGTTCATACCACCACCAGAAAGCATGCCACTGGCTGCTCACAAACACCCTTTAAGTCTTTGGTGACAGAGCCTCTTAAAGAGTTGTCATACAGTTTTTGCTGCTAACACTTAGTCAGGAAGCCTTTCTTAAAGGAGCTGAGCCTCTGCTTGCCACCAGCAAACAGAGCCAACCAGAGGTAGACTGTTATCAAGAAGCTGCGTTTGACTCTGCTCTTGTTTGTCTGTCTAGAATCCTTTTTAAGTTTTCTCAGGCTTTATGTGGGAATTCTTGCCAAACATTTGGGTGCCATTTGTAGAGCGAAGTTTCTGTCCCTTCCAGTCCCAAAGAAACACACAGAGGCTTATATTAATTATAAACTGTTTGGTCTACTAGTTCATGCTTATTACTAATATTTGCTCTTTAACCCATAATTATTTTCTATGTTTAGCCATATGGCTTGGTACCTTTTCTCAGTAAGGTATTCTCATCTTGCTTCCTCTGGTTCTGGCTGGTGACTCACTCTCTGCCTTTCCACTTCCCAGAATTCCCTTAGTCTGGTCGCCCCACTTATACTTCCTGCCTGGGTACTGGCCAATCAGCGTTTTATTAAACTAATTATACTGTACAAAAGCATTATCCCACAGCAGTTAGAGCTTCTGTTGCTGTGATGAACACCGTGAACTAAAACAGCTTGGAGGAAAGGGTTAATTCATCTTCCACTTCCATATCACTGTCCATCACTGCAGGAAGTCAGGACAGCTCAGAGCAGGAACCTGGAGGCAGGAGCTGATGCAGAGGCCATGGAAGGTGCTGCTTACTGGCTTGTTCCTCACAGCTTGCTCAGCCTGCTTTCTCATAAAACCCAGGACCATCTGCCCAGGAATAGCTCCACCCACAATGGACTAGGCCCTCCCCCATCAATCACTAATTAAGAAAATGCCCTATAGGCTTGTCTACAGCCTGATCTTATGGAGGCATTTTCTTAATTGAGACCCGCTCCCCTCAGATGACTATGGCTTGTGTCAAATTGACATAAAACTATTCAGCATAGAATCTATGTGGCTGGCGCAGAAAGTTCTGTGTTTTAAGAAACTGTAATAGGAAGAAGCAGTTGTTGTGTAAAAAGGGCATTAATTAGAGAGCCACAAAAAAGATAGGAAAAGGGACAGGCAGACCCTCAGGGACAGACATACAGACAGGGTGACTCACAGAGACAGACTGAGTAAACACTAATACCCTTGTAAACAGGAGCCAGAGGCATACCAGTGGTGCAGGTGATGGTCTGGGTATCTTGTGGTGACAATATTCCCAGGCTTGTCAAACCTGAGGTTCTCCACTTGTATCCGAGTCAACTTCACACGGGTCTTAAAACGTCTGTAGATGACTATGTCATATCACACTGTCAAAGCCTGGTCTCCACCCGCGAGACACAGGGTGGCTGCACAGCACTGTGGTGTGTCACTGGGGTTAGCTGAAGACAGACAGCAGCCCTGGGTTCCACTCCAAGCCCAGACAATAACAGCTACTACCCAAAGAACCTTTTGGCCCCAGCACAGGTCACACCTGCATTTGTGCTTCTGTGTCTCTCTCGATGCTTTCGGATATCTGTGTGTGTTTGTATCTGCTGGCATGCACTCCACAAACTGTTCCATAAGTAGCGCGAGCATGGATGTGGCTTGCAGAACCTTCTTTTGCCTGGCTGGGAGGGAGCTCCTGGGGCAGCGGTTTAAAACTTCTGAACCCACCCCTTCCTCTGGGGAGCAGGTTGGATAAGATGGACCTCCCTATCGGGCACCTTCCTCCTCCATAGAAAGGGTCAGTGCTCTTCATATGCTGTAGGCTCAGTTCATGCCTGACTGACCAGTCCTGTGATCTATGGACACCATGCCAAGACTGGGAAACTGAGGCTCACAGAGAAGCAGGGACCTGAGTAAAGAACATGTACATCAGTAGCTGAACTGGACTTAAACCCGGGCCCCATTTCTCCCACTGCTGGGGGCTCTCACTGCTCCTTTGGGTCACTGCTGGGGGTGCTGACTGCCCCACTGGGTCACTGCTGGGGGTGCTGACTGCCCCACTGGGTCACTGCTGGGGGTGCTGACTGCCCCACTGGGTCACTGCTGGGGGTGCTGACTGCTCCACTGGGTCACTGCTGGGGGTGCTGACTGCTCCACTGGGTCACTGCTGGGGGTGCTGACCGCACTGCTGGTGGTGCTGATCGCTCCACTGGGTCACTGCTGGTGGTGCTGATTGCTCCACTGGGTCACTGCTGGGGATACTGACCGCTCTGCTAGGTCACTGCTGGGGGTACTGACCGCTCTGCTGGGTCACTGCTGGGGGTACTGACCACTCCGCTGGGTCACTGCTGGGGGTACTGACCACTCCGCTGGGTCACTGCTGGGGGTACTGACTGTGCCACTGGATCACACTGTCCCAGCTGCTCTGAATTAAAGCTGGATTAAAACTGGTTGAGAGAAGAAATGGAACCAACCAGTAGGACTCGCCCTCATCTCTATAACTCCTCTCTGCTAACCTGTGACTTATGTGTGTAGTGAGATTTCTTGAGTGTTTGGTTGGAAGTGCCCCTGCAGGAACACCCAACTGTCTGGTGATTTGTGCTGGAACTTGTTCCTGTCTCCTAAAGGGCCCTGAGCCCTGTCCTCCCAGCTTCTGTCTCAAGACTTCTCATACCTTGGTGCTTCCAATGCTGCGCTCCCCCTGCTGTCCTCCAGAGGAACTGCAGCCTCTGGGACCAGGCTCTCTTGCCTTGGACAGCGGTGCCCCCTGCTGCCAGAGGGTTTCTCTTCCCTCTTCTCTGGGTTTGTGTCTTCCCATTCAAGTCCTTACACCTCAACCTTAAAAACCTCTTGGAGCTGGGAAACACGTGATAAGATGCTGGGGCTCAGGACTGACAGTGAGGGAGCGAGTGAGTGAGTGGATAACTGAGCGAGTGGGTGACTGGCTGAGTGTGTAAGTGAGTAACTAGCGAGTGGGTGACTGGCTGAGTGTGTAAGTGAGTAACTAGCGAGTGGGTGACTGGCTGAGTGTGTGAGTAACTAGCAAGTGGGTGACTGGCTGAGTGTGTAAGTGAGTAACTGAGTGAGTGGGTGACTGGCTGGCTATCCAGCTGACTGGTTGACTGACTGACTGGTTGACTGACTGACTGGCTGACTGACTGACTTGCTGACTGATTGGCTGACTGACTGACTAATTGGCTGACTTGCTGACCTGCTGACTGATTGACTGACTGACTGACTGACTGACTGGCTGGCTGGCCGGCTGGCTGACTGACTGGCTGACTGGCTGGCTGACTGGCTGACTGACTGACTGACTGACTGGCTGACTGGCTGACTGACTGACTGATTGGCTGACTGATTGGCTGACTGACTGACTGATTGGCTGACTGACTGGCTGACTGATTGGCTCACTGACTGGCTCACTGACTGACTGGCTGACTGGCTGACTGACTGGCTGGCTGACTGACTGACTGGCTGGCTGGCTGACTGACTGACTGGCTGACTGACTGACTGGCTGACTGACTGGCTGACTGGCTGACTGGCTGACTGGTTGACTGACTGGCTGAGTGAGTGAGGCAGCCATTGGTTGAAGCAGGAGGGCTGAGACCCAGTCTTCTCTGCTGGTTATTAGGGACCCTAGGACCCCCTTGCCTTTGTCCAATGGAAACATAGCATGAGCTATCTCCATGAGATCCACATGACTTCAGATGTTGTGCAGGTCCCCAAAGGAGTACACAGATGTAGGTGATGTGTGTTCTGTCTTTCCAACACTTCTGTGGTCAGTGTTAGAAGTGAACTGACAATTCCCAACAAGCCCAACTGCCTGCTTTCTCTGCATGGAAGGACCTGCGTTCTGAGGCCTCTGACCCGAACCTCTTCTCGTCAGAGCCTTGGTGGTTTACCACACACCTCCCCACGGCTCGTTTGCCTCTCATTTTTTATTTTGTTTTATTTATCTTTCTTTATTGGGCACAGGTAGTTGCTTACATAGCCCAGGTTGGTCTCCAACTCCTGACTCCCCTGCTTCTGCCTCCTTCCACGGAGATTCCAGGTGTTCCGCCATCACTCCTGGTTTTGCTCTTGGCTCTCTTTGTCACCTGTGCAGGTATCAAATGGCCACTGTTGCCGGGAGGAAGACCCCTGTTGTCCCCAGGTTTGGGATTGAGTGTCCTAGGCCCTCTGTGAGTGCTGTTGTTTCCTGCCTTTCGTGCAGTTTTGGCCCCGAGTCCCCGTCGTCCCCGGACAGCAGTGCTGCATCTGCGGGGAAGCAGCCACCCAGCAGCCACTTGTCCTCGTACACGGAGTCCACATCAGTGGAGCAGCATGACAGCTCCAGGGACCGGCGCAGCTCCAGCGTGGACCGCTCCAGTTCTGAGCTGGAATCCACAGATGGCCCAGAGGGGCCACCCCCACCAGACGCTTGCCCAGCAGAAAGAGAGGACGATTTTTCCTTCATCCATGTAAGCTGAAGCTGGGGGAGGTGGCTGGGACGGAACAGCCGTTTCTTATTAAAAGGAAGCATGGCCTGTGCAGTATCACCACCCCAGCAGGATGGGCGCATTATGCCAAGGACCCCTGTGGTGGGCATGGGACACAGCCTTAGACATGTACCTTCCTTTAGCATAGTATTGCCCCATCCTAGCTGTGTGTCTTGGGGCAGATGTCCTCACCTCTCTGATCCTCAGCTGCCTTACTCAGTAGTGATGAGCACATCCAGCTCCACGGCCTCACAAGTGATCACAGGTGTCCAAGGCACATCTTGCCATGAGTTCTTCCGGGTCAGCCGGGGCCTGTCTAGAGCAAGCACAGAGAATAGCCTCTTCGGGTTCTCGCTCAGCAGAGCCTGGGCACCAGGCATGAAGAGCTCTCTGTGACAGCTGTTCCAGACACAGGTTCCCTCCTCCAGAACTGAGCTTGCCTGGGTTCCACACACAGCCACCCCTCAGGTGCCCACTATCCGGAGCCGTGGTACCCTGCTGCAGAAGCCCTAGTCTCCAAGGATAGGAACCGTCATTATAGGCTGCAAGGGCCCCTCACTCCTGACCAGGTGCCTCACCTACTCCTGGGTAGTTGATGCTCCCAGGGGACCCACAGCTACACAGCCAAGGTTTTCCCTCTGGCATCTCTAGATAAGAGGAGAGACAGCAAGACCAGGGTGAGCCCTCAAGGACACTGCCATATGAACAGGCACTGGCGCCCATCTCCGGGTGTTGTAAGGAACTCAGTGGGTGATGCGATCCCATTCACTCAGCAGCCATGCACTGAAGTCTCACTGTGGCCGAGCTTGCTGCAGCTCATGTGTGCATGTGATGTGTGTCATATGACACGGATGACACTGGACATTCCTTCTTGAACTCTGAGCACTTCCTCCTAGAATCCATCCTAAGCAACAGTGGCAGGTGGCACCAACGGCCCTGGGTCCCTGGTAGCTGCCACGTCCCATGCACATAATGATAACCAATGGCAGCATTCCCTGCCTGCCTTTTGGAGTAGCAAGTTGGCATGGTTGCTGATTCTGCCCAAATACTGGCCCTAAGTATGGGGTGAACTGAGGTTTATGTGGTTTGCCACCATGACTTGGGTATCCTGTGGGGACCATTTGGAGGCTGATCAGAGAGATGTCCCAGGGTAGCCCTGTGGACATGGAAGTGCCCCTCTTTATTGGTGCTCTGTAGGTGGTCCCTCCCCTCTCACCTGCACTCAGGATTATCACGGGGGCCACAGTGAGTACCTCTTGGCTCAGGGACTCCATGAATATGGTTGTCATAAAGACGCAGAGAGATTTACTCAGCAGGTCACTCAACAACCAGTACATAGCATGGATTGAGCTCCTGGTCCTTCCTTCACTCTGTGTGACGTCACAGGCTACACTTGTCTCCGTGCCTGTGTGTCCAGTGCTATTTTTGGGGCACTGCCTGCGTGGTCTCCATGGGGACATTGAGGCTTATGGCGCCAAGGGTGTCTTTAGAGCACAGCACAGCAGCAGCCTGTGCACCCCTGAGAACACCTTGTGTATGAGCAAGGCTGCACACGGTCTGTGGATGGTGCTTCCCACTGACGGTTTTCCTTCCTTCCCACCTCCTCCTCGCCACCCCCAAAGCAAACTTCAGTCCTCGACTCAAGTGCCCTAAAGACCCGGGTGCAGCTGAGTAAGCGAAGCCGGCGCCGGGCTCCCATCTCCCACTCCCTCCGGCGCAGTCAGTTCAGTGAGTCAGAGAGCCGGTCTCCTTGGTCGCCTTTGGAAGAGGAGTCACACAGCACGTGGATGTTCAAGGACTCAACAGGTATGCCCACACCTTCCACTTGGCCTGCGTACCGCTCTGGGCAGGAAGGCCTCAGGTTAAACCCTGGGATGAATGGGCCCGACCTTGGAGGGTTTGTGACACTGGGACACAACGACCCAGGAAGTCGTGGTTTCTTGTTCTGTGGAACTTGTGTTCCGAATCCATGTCTGGCAGTGCCCATCTGTAGTCCTAGCAGTTCAGGGACAGAAGCGGCGAGATCTTCACAGTGCAAAGCCAGCCTGGTGGTCTACAGAGTGAGTTCTAGGCCAGCTGTGACTCTATGATGTGACCCTCTTTAAAACAAACAAAGAGCCAGGCGTGGTGGTGCACATCTTTAATCCCAGCACATGGAAGCAGAGGCTGGAGATCTTTGCCAACCTGGTCTATAGGGCAGAGAGTAGCATGACCAAATATGGCCTCTGACCAGAAGCCTAAACCAATGCTTGGCTTGGGTCATTGCTTCTCATGGTCCACTGTGCTAGTGAACAAAGGTTAGGTTTCTGTTGAGGGCTGGGGAGATGTGCAAAGTACTTGCTTCACAGGTTCCAAGACCCGCATTCAAATCCTCAGCCCCTCGTACTCCTGTCACCCAGCCTTGAGTAAGCAGAGGCCAAAGGATTGCTGCGGGTTGCTGGCCAGCTCTAACTGAACTGGTGAACTCCAGGTCCAGGGAGAGATTCTGCCTCAGAAAATGACGTGAGATTGATGTATATGCCCAGCACTAACCTCTGCTCCATGTGCGTGCACACGCACACAGGTCCTCCCACACGGGTACATACAGTAAACACATGCACCTGTACACAGAGCCAACCAGTAATAAATAGGTCAGTAAGTGTCAGCAAGGCCAGAACTGTGCTAAACCACCTGGAGCAATGCCGTCCACCATACATACAGACAGAAACACAGATCCCTTCACCGGGACCTGGCAGCAGAACCTATGACTTCCATAGCCCCGACCACATGTCAGGCAGATATGAAAGACTGGGGCTGACCTTTCTGAGCATGTCCATGTCCACCTGAGCCTAGGGCTCCAGAGTACATGCTGTACCCCACCAATGTCCAGTTCTTGGGAAGCCAGAAACTCTTTACTGCTGCCCTTCACCAAGAAGTCTCTGGCACAGCCCCTGACTTGGGCAGTGTCTTAAAGAGACCCTGAAGCAAAGTCCCTGAATCCTCAAATATGTGTGACAGTGGCTGCCACAGTTCAGGGGATCCGTGATTTGGAGACGGTTAGTTGAATAAGGCTACTCTCCTGGATTAAGTTGTAGGGAACTGGAGAAATGTGGACCAGAGATGGGGTGTTCCAGGCAGGGAGTACATGGTGGCCTCTCTGTCTCCAAGGCAGCATGGGTTTGGGAACCACCAGGTTTTGGTGAGCAGGAAGGAAGTGGGAGAGCTCTGGAGAGGCATCTTACCCACCCGTATCCATCCCCTGCATGGCTGCAGAGTTTATCTTTTGACTCTGATGCTTGAGCATCATTACGCTCATTTCTGAGTAAGACATAGCTGCAGGATACAATGTTCTTTCTTTTTTTTTTTCCTCTTGTTAGTGTGTATATATATCTGTCTGTCCCTGAGCTCACTTGTACAGGCGGGGGAAGGGGTCAATGTTGGCATCCTTCTCATCGCTCTCCACTTTATTTTTTGAGTTAAGGTGTCTCAGTGTACCAGGAACTTAGAGATTCAGCTAGGATACCTGACTAGTATGAGCTCTATAGATCCTCCTGGCCCTGGCTCCCCAAAGCTAGTATTCCAGGGGCACACCATCATGCCCAGAATTTTACATGGGTGCTAGGGAACTCAAGAAGGCTGAATTCAAGTTTTCATGCTTGTGTGTCGAGTGCTCTACCCACAGAGCCATCTTTTTCCTTTCTTTTTTAATAACATGAGTTGATTACATAAAAAAAAAAAAGAGAGACCCTGAAGCATTCCACATTGCTCCCTGTTGGTGGGACATGTCTGTGCCGCTTGTTCTGCCTCTGTCAAGAATGTCCTATTTTCCTCCAAAGTGGCAGGAGCCAGGGGCCTGCCTATGCTTGAGAAGAGGTGGTCTGCTCATGACCACTGTTTCCAGGCAGGTGGCAGTGTCTGAAGAACAGGGAGTGGGAAGCTTCTGCCAAGTACAGATGGACCAGGGGTGCCCTGTCCTTGTGCAGGGCTGTGAGGAACCACCAATGACTCAGAGTCTGTCTCTTAATAGAAGAGAAGTCACCCAGGAGGGATGAGTCGGATGAGGAGCCGCCCAAGGTGGAGAGGACCCCTGTCAGCCATTCCCAGAGGATGCCCATGTTCCCACGCATGGACCCAGCTGTGCTGAAGGTACTGAGAGCGGACCGCTGAGTGAACCCCACTTCTGTCCGTCCCTCATGACCCAACTAACGCCTTTTCTTCTCATTCCTTTTGCCCATCCATGATTTAACCTCCCTCCTCCCTTCCCATCAATCGATCACTTTCAATCAGCCTCCTCCTCCCTTTCCTCATCCCCCCTTTCATTACACGTCTGTTTAACATCCTCCTGCCTGCATCTGCCATCTGATTGCTGGGATGACAGGAATGTGACGCTGCCTAGCTTCTCCCTGAGAAATTCTGTTCATACTGTCTTAAGTCGCCCCTTTCCATCCTGGTCCCCAAACTCAGGGAACAGTCGCCCCTGCCTCTTGCTTGTGGGACCCCAATGTTGCAGGCTTCATGCCACTAGATGCAGGGGTGAATTTGCTCTAGCCTCCCCTTGGGCGAGGCTCTGGACTTCTCAGTCCCCATACTTCCTGCCTTGGTCACTCTGTAGCTCAGGATACCTGGTGCTTTGTGAGATGTCACCCTGGGAGCGCTGTTAGATGGGGCTTGTCCCCAGACAGAAGACAACTACACTGGACCCTCCTCTCTCCCCAGGCTCAGCTGCACAAGAGACCAGAAGTGGACAGTCCTGGCGAGTCCCTCAGCTGGGCGCCCCAGCCCAAGACCTCTAGGTCACCCTTCCAGCCTGGGGTGCTGGGCAGTCGGGTGTTGCCTTCCAGCACAGAGAAAGATGAGAGGTGAGGACAGGGACACTTCCACTGGGGACAGGATGCTTCTGAGTGCTGTGTGCAGGTTTCCCTGCGGGTGTACTCTGTACTCTTTCAGCTATGGCTGCAGACCCAGGGGAGACAGCAGGAATCTCAAAGCCCCTCTTCGCCCTCCTCTCCCACCTGACCCAGAACTCCAGGCCGAGTTTCCAGGAAGCCCTGCAGATAAATGGAAACCGGGGCATCTTGGGACAATTGGGAGGCCTAACTGGTCAGCTGCCTTTCATGGAGGGGGCAGCTGCTCCACCCCAGTCACGTTGATTCTATACATGGACGAGACCCGAGCAGCCCCAACTTCAGCTGCAGGCCAGGCTGTAAAATGCTGTGAGCTGAAAAAAAACCACGTGACCACTCCATGCCTCACCTTCTTCTGTGAAATTGGTTTGGTAACCCCACAACCTACTGGGGTGGTCATGGAGATGAGAAACCCGTTCTTTGACCTGGTCCATAACAGTCTCATAATGGAAGGTGCTTTATGCTGAGAAGTTAGGGCATAAATTCAGGACTCGTGATATAGGGGTGTGGAACAATCCTGCTGCGGTAGAGTGAAAGTGAGCAGACTGCAACCCACAGGCTAGTTCCGGCCCACTGTCTGCTCTAGTCAATAAAACTTTATTGTTCCCTAGTCATGGCTATTCTTTTATGTATTGTCTATGGCTGTTACTATGTTAAATTTCAGGCAGCCTGTAGCTCATAGCTGGACACATTTGCTCCCTGACTCTGTGCTCCCTGTAGATAGGAGGGGCTCTCAGCACATATCCGAGGAGGAGGGCACCCAGAAGGCCTCCAGAGATGTACTTTTCCTGAGTCTCGATTAGATGGGCCTCACGGTATGAGAGACTTCCAGGTGATGGCTATACTGTGCAGAGCCCCAGAAACACATGACCAAGGCACAAAGAGGAACTTGTGAGGAGAAAGACTCAGTCAGAGCGGGGCAGGCTCTTGCTGAGGTGTGCTCACTGTCCAGAATGAAGGGGTTGGTCCTAGAGGCATCTGTAGGCCTGGACCTGGACATCTTTCTCCACCATCAGGCAAGGCTGGGCTGAAATCTGGGGAGCCTGGGCGTTCTGCCTCTATTTCAAGGCTAGAGGACAGATCACCCTGAGGGAGGAGGTCTGCCTCCACACTTCCAAATCACCTCATCCCTTAGCCTTTATCCCCAACTAGGTCACCAACTTCCCTAAGCCCTCCCTAAATCAGGAACTCTCTCTGTGGGATGGTAAAATAATTCAGCTGCACACACACACACACACACACACACACACACACACACACACAGAGAGAGAGAGAGAGAGAGAGACAGACAGACAGACAGACAGACAGACAGAGACAGACAGACAGACACACTCACACATAGAGGCAAGGGGATCACTGCACATGGCTGTGGGATCCAAAGACCAAGGAGGAGATGCAGATCAATGCAGACAGAGGCAGGCAGCTGCTGACCCAATTGTAGAGCCTTCCCTCTCTCTGGGCAGTCATGGTTTCTCTGTTTCATATTTTTCTATTTAGGCTTCAGCTCATGGAGAGAGGCCCATGTATAGTATGAGCCATGATCTGCTTGACTCAAAGCCCACTGAATCTCATGGCTTTGCATAGGTCTGCATAGATCTCATCCAGAAACATTCATAGAAATATCTAGAATCATATCTGATCAGATGTCAACATGGCGAATGGAGGGCTGGGGGCCATGTCAACCTGCCTTCAAGGAACCAGGGTGTGGTTCTCACTCCACTCGCTCTGGCTTTATGGTTTCAGGTCAGAGGAGTCCTCGCCCCAGTGGTTAAAGGATCTTAAATCCAAGAAAAGGCAGAGCCTGTATGACAATCAAGCTTGACCAGGTAGGACCCTGGGATGGCTCAGGTGGGGCCTCGGGAGGGAGGTGGTCACACAAAGGTGAGTGTTCTGGTAAAGAGACTGGCAAAGGGTGTCAGGTAACTAGAGTTCTGACCTCATGCCCTTGACCTTCTTGCTGCCCTCAAAGCCCTTGGGAAAGGTGGGAACATCAAAGGCCAGCTTAGCTAGACAAGTTTCACAGTCTTGCATAGGGAAGTCTTAGTGTACACACTGTGTAAGTTTATTTCGAGACCATATATAGTCAGCCCCTTGGCATCCACCTGAGATCCATTCAAAGGTTCTGAGGCACCAAGATCTGAGGACCCTAAAGTGCTGGGTGCAAAACGTCTGTGGTCTTAAGTCCACATCCTCCTGTGCACTTAAGTCATATTTATTGCTGTGTAAGCACATGGTGTATGGGATCACATGACTCTGTAGAGTCAGTTCTCTGTCCACATACATGTGGGACCCAGGGATTGAACTCAGGTCTCCAGGCTTGCACAGCAAGCCCTTTGCCCTCTGGGCCATCTTGTTGGCCCTTTAAGTCATCCGGATGACTTCTAACACCTCACACATTGTGTACCAGCTGTGTTGTCTATCTTGCTGTTGCCTAGGCAATGCTGACACATCTGCACATGCTCAGTAGAGCTGTATCATCATCGTGGGGTTGGCTGATGGTGCGGATTGGGGATGGCACAGACAGGTAGGGCTAAGTTTATTTAGAAGCCATATACTCAGATTACTGTGTGCTCTACGGTCTTCGCCTATGGAGATCAGCAATACCCATGTGGCCGTGGGGTTTCCCAGCCTGCCTGAAAACATAAGATATGGATGGAGTGCCACCTGCGCCCCAGCAGAGAGAGTGGGCTGTGTGATGCAGAAGCTGGCTTGGGTATGGTCAGGAGAGGGCCACCTCCTGAATCACAAAACCCAAAACCTGGCCTGAGTGGACAGGGTGCTGTTTGGAGTCTGCAGGATTACCTTGTTGGTCTGTTTTGGGGTGTGTTTTTTTTTTCAGGGGAAACACCCTGGAGCTCAGAGTCTTATGCTAGGCCAGTGCCCTGGATCTTCACAGGGCTCCCTTGTTCCAGCACTGTGTTGAACCCTAGATGAGACTAGACATTCGCAGCAGACTGTGAAGTTTCAGATATGTATACAGCATGTGTCCCATAATTACATGTATGGATGGACATGTGTATATATCATAAATCCAAAGGATGAAAAAGAATCCCAAGCAAGTCTGCCCCAAGGCAGTGGAGGGTTCAGGGCCTTGTGCTGACATGGAGTTTGGCAAACCTGTGGGCACAGGGTAATGCTCTGGTCCACATGTGCCCTGCGCTTATGACCCATCACCCCAAGCAGTTCTTGCTTCATGGCGAGTGTCCAGAGCCCTCTGGAGTGATTTTGAAATCTACGGTACAATCTCTAGCAACACACGGAGGAAGTTAAGGCTAGAGTTGATGTCGCAACTGGCTCATTGCAGCTGGTCAGGATGCCTGCCCCATTGTGCACTTTGCCCATTCCCAACTCCCTCCGCATCCTTCCTGGGCAGTGGTGACATGCAGGAGGTGGAACCCAGGGCTTTGTGAGCTATCGGGGTACGCCTGAACCCCAGCATAGGATGGAAGGCCTGATGGCGGAAACTGCCAAACGCTCTCCTAATAAGGGCTATCATTTCTCTGCAGACAGGACATCACTTCACCCACAAACTCAAGCCTTAACCGCCAGACGTCAGAACCCGAGGCCAAGCCACCTGCTCCCCCCTGGCCACACTCATGTGCCTGGGCCTTTCCACCCTGAAGATACTGTGCTGAGCCACATCTGGGTCCCCACAGGAAGGTCCTGCCCCAGGACTTGCTCCAGTCCCCAGAAGGATCTTCAGTTCTCCTTGCAGAAGTGCACTGGCCTTTGGTGTGACAGTTGGCTTTCCTGCCCTCTGCATACACCTCACAGGACTCCCTTAGCTGGAAAAGAGACTCTGGCTCCTCCTCAGGCAGCCCGTCTGGAAGGACTTGGACACGGAAGCTTGAATGGCTCTCAGATGGCCAGGGAATTGTCCACGCATCGCACTGGTGTCTCCCAGCCTTTGCTTTTTTTGTTTTGTTTTCTTTTTGACAGGCTCTTCTTTCTCCACTTAGATCCCATATTCACACTTATAAGCACACTTATCCTTCCTGTGGGGCTGTTTGCACAGTAGGCCTATGTCTTACTATCATGTCTGCTTTAGAGGGGGATAAAGCAATAATTCAGCCAATTTTCTTAGAAACCTGACACGGGCATTGACAGACAGCAGGAAGGGATGGACAGTGTCCAGTTGCCTCGGGTTACCTGATCCCTGTCCTAGCTATGAAAACTTGTGAGTTTTACCATTGTCCACGCCTAGGCTGCTCTGCTGTCCGTGGGGTAGCCTTTCCCCTCAGTCCCAAGTGCTATGAACCTCAGTCTGAATGGTCAGTGCCTTGGCCACTCCCATACCAGGCCTGCTCTGGGTGTCTATTTTTTTCCACATCTTTTCTGAACACCTGTGTCCTGCTGGAGTGAAGACCCGACTAACTCAGCTTAGAACAGACGTGGCCCCACCCCTGCCACCCGCGACCCACCTGGCCGAAGTCCATCTGCATCTTGATCTAACGGGAAGGTTCCTGTAGTGGGAGTCTCAGGCCAGATGCTGGGCCAAGAGGTCTAAGATGTTTTCCTTCACATTCTGCTAGCTGAATGCTCACCCCTCGGAGTCTGTACTCTGGACACCCGCTCTGTCATGTTTCCTTTTGTAAGTCCTCAAGAGGACTTCAGAAGCCCCAGCACCAGTGGTCACCCCTAACATGCCAAGCCGGCTGCCCACTGTGCCGGCAGCTTCCAGAGACCTTTTCCCAACCTTGCCTTGGTGACATTCCAGGCAGTTCCAAGGTGGTCCGTGGCTGTGGAGGGCCCTGGGTCTGGTGTTCTGACAGATACCTGCCTGGCACGTGTGCCCACCACTGCCCTGACCTCCCCGGCGGCAAAAGTTGCTCTCTGTAAATCCGTTACTTGCAGATGGTGTTGAGACCTGCCTCTCTGTCTTCCCACCTCCGCTCCTCTGTCATTATCCTCTCTGCCTGTTTTCCCTTTGGAAGGGTGTGGTGGGAAAGGGTGGCTGTATTTGGTGTCACTAGGTTAGGACAGTCACCTGTGCCTGGGGGCTGAGGTGTCAGCACCCAGGAGACTGCAGGTCCCACCCACACCCCACCCTGTGCTCTGGCCACCAGTGAGAGCAGAATGTTAACACTTCACTGCTTTCCCTTCCTTCTCTGACTAGTGGTGAGGGGCATCCATCCTCTGAAATCATTTGGGGTTCCGTCTCCCCGCAGACTCTTCCATACTTCCTGTTTTCTGTTGTGTTATGATTTTAGATCCATTTTGTATGCTGCAGCACTTTTGACCCAGCAGTGGCTTGCCTTTTTAAACACAGTGGCAGGGCTGAGGATGTGTGTGGCTCAGTGGGTGGAGTATGTGCCTAACACGCGGGAGGTACTACATAAATCAAGTGTGGTGTGTACGCCAGTGATTCTAGCACTTGGGTAAAAGGAGGAAGGCCGGTAGTTCAAGGCCATCTTTGGCTAAGAAAGCTGGAGGCTAGCCTGGGCTGTAAAATCCACTCAAACAGAGCAAGAACAAAAACCAAGTAAACAAAACCACAAAGCAACAACCTTCTGCTCATGTTTCTAACTTCTCTCCACTGCTCTCTTTGTTCTGGGAGAAAGAAGCCCATGGTGGCAGGAAGTGTCCTAAGTATTGAAAGACACAGTAGAATCAAAGAGAGCTCGCCTTGCCTGTCATTACCTAACCTTTCTTGTTTAATTGACAAGAAATCGATTTGATTCCACAGAAAGACCCACATACTGACAATCTCATTGGGTCAGGAGTGACCCCTCTGGTGCGGTGCAGTGTGCAGAGGCCCTTGCTCGGACCCTTGACCGAGCTGAGCGAGTGGTTCATTTAGCTCCCTCTTCTAAACCAGGCAAAGACTCTGGGAGACAGGTGGTGTGCTGTATGCTTACTCCTTGGGCTTCTCAGGACCCTCTGTTTAAAGGAATCTAATATGCCTTAAGTGGTGCAGTTCAGACACTCGGGTCTCCCCAGCCCCTCTTCTGGGAACTGGCTGTCTGCAGAGTCCCACATATGCCACATCTGACCCCTCTTTGCCCATCATTGTTTTGACATCTGGCCTTTGGATACCTGCTCCCATAGATAGACATTTTTCCACATAGTCTCTGGGCTTGTCCTTTGAAATCATACAGCACCAACTGTGGGCAGTCCTCAGCCCAGCAGAGAAGCCAGGTGGTCCAGGGAGCTTAGTGTAAAATTTATCTGATGGCCTCAGGTTTGGCAGGATGCAGGGACCCATCAGAGGGGTTTGTATTGTAGGGAAGTGAGCAAGTTTCTGTCTAGATGTACGTTTTCCTCCTACAGTAAAATCCCCTCTAGAAACAGGCCCAGGCCTTCAACCTTAGCTGCTGAGCAGAGATTGGAAAAATCCCAGAGTGGTTTTCCTGAGGGAAACCTGGCCAATCCTGGGATATTTGTGTGGTGGGGGGGGGGGGTAAGGGCTGCTCTGTCAATCCTGGCTTTAAGATGGTTCATTCTGGTGCCCAGAGACACCCCTAGATCTAGGCTTGATTGAAAAGTGAGAAGCCACGCCCACCCATGTTAATATTATGGTTCTGGCAAGTCATTGGGGCAACAGAGATGGTGTGCCCTCCCAGTGTGCCTTTATCCCACCATGTGTTGACAGGAAGCAGATCTCCACATTGCTGGGGACTGGGGACAGTCTTGAGGTGGAGGGAGCTGCAGGAGACTGACAGGGTCTGCTCCACACCTCTGAGTTTGCCTTGGCCTCAAGCCCCTCAGTGAGAGAGGACACCACTGACATTTTAGGAATGTCACGTTCCAGAAGCCTGAAGCCATGTCAGAAGTCAGCAGGCAGGTGGTAAAGGTTTTAGTTGTCTCTGTCCTGTGACCCCTATCACACCCTGGAGTATCCTTTTATGAGGACACTTCACAGCCTGCATCCTTCACCATCCAAGAGTCTCCTTAAACTGTTAATGTCACCTGTGCTGTGACAATCCCTGGCAACACTGAGCCAGCTAGAATCTCTCCTATCCTCTACAGGACAATCCATGCTTTTTAATGTTCTTGTCCCGTGTCGCCTTACAGATCTTGTTGTATGGGGCTCACAAAGATCATATATTGATATGCAGAAGGTGTTTGTACCAAGTGGTTTCTTACTCTGTTCTAGAATGATCATGGTCCTCAACATGCTTTGTATGCTGGGGTGGGAGTATGGAATTATATATATGAATATAGGGTATATTTTCCTAACTCTTCTTCTGGGTCCTGCCTGGGATATTGTGACATGATCGGTAAGGACTCACAAGACACACGTCCTGTCTGTGGCATTCTGACAGCTGCCTTACCAATCCACAAGCTGGAGGACTTTGGAATGACGGGGGACGGGGCACCGTAGCCAGTCCCAGGAAGGACCTAACTGCGTGACTGAGAATTCATCTATAAAAACCTATATTTTTACTGTCAAAACAAAAGGGACTTCCCGGACTTCCTAGTAACCGGATGTCCCCTGTGCTTTTCTATTTTGTCGCCGTAAGAGGTTTTCTGGCGCAGACAAGCAGTCAGGAATCCAGCTGACTGCACCAAATGGGGTGAACTCTGCATGTGCAAACGGGGCACACCCCGACTCCAGAAATAGTAAATAAAGCTCTCACAGCAGGTGTGCTGCTGAAGCCGTGTGTCCGTGAGTGAGCGACGGGGCCTCCCGGGTGGATGGGTCTCCCACACACGCACTGGTTTTGTACTGAGCTGGGTTTAGGCAGCAGCAGGGAGCCCCAGACGGGTGGCCATCCATCATGGGAGACATGGGAATGAGACAGTGACCACTGAGGCCCAAGAGAGTGGAATCCTTACCCTGCCTCCTTCCTACTGTAGGATCTCTCTGTGTTGGCTCTTCTTAGCAACAGAATGAGAGGTTGTGCTGGCAGCATTGGTGGCAAGAATTACGGAGGGATGATAGCCGGGAGGTGGGGGGTTGTCCCATAGAGACCTTCTGCAATGGTGGAAGCACTCTTGCTTATTACAGGAGGTAGGTGAGTAGAGGCCAGGAATGCTAATCAACAGCCTACCCAATGATAGTCAATAACCTACCCAAGATGGCAAGTGCTAGTCTATCCAGGGAAGTTAATCAACAGCCTACTTAATGATGCCAGTCAATAACCTACCCAGGGATGGAATTGATAGCCAACCTAGATATGCAGCAACAACCTACCCAAGGATGTTAATAACTTAGTTGTTTCCTTTCTGCTGCTGCAATGAACCCTGTGCCCAAAAGGAACTAAAGGGAAGAAATGTCTATTTGACTAATGCTTCCACGTCACCAGCTTCAATTGAAGGATGCCAAGGCAGGAACTCGAGCAGGAATTTGAAGTAGAAACCATGGAAGGTGCTGCTTACTGGTTGGTTTTCAGGCTCATGGTCAGCCAGCAGGACCACCTGAGTAGGAAGTGGTGCCACCGACAGTGAGCCAGGCCCTCCTCCATAAATAATACCCAGGACAACTCCGTGTAGAGGTGAACCAGGCCCTCCTACATAAATAATACAAAAGACAATTCCCTACAGAGGTGCTCACAGGCCATCCTGGACTGGACCATCCTTCAAATGAGACTCCCTTCTCAGATGGCTCTGTGTTGTCTCAAGCTGACAGTTAAGGGAATGAGGACACTACCTAGGACTGCTAATTGATAACATATCTTGGAGGCTCATCAAGTCTCAGGAATACTGCATTCGTGTTTTTTAGAGGACAGGATCGATAGAATGAATATATATTCAGAGGTCATTTATTAGGTTGACTTTCACAGTATGACCCAGGCAACCCAACATTAGGTGTCTTCACACCAGAGAAACTGAGGATGGTTACTCCTCAGCCCACAAAGCTGGACACCTCAGAGAGCCGTGGCTGGAGCCGAAGACCTGCAGGGTTACTAGAAAATCGCTGGTCTCCAGTGAGGAAAAACAGCAGTGACAGAGAACAGCAAGCAGGCAAAGCAAAGGCTCATCTTAGACACCATTCTGTCCAGGCAGCTCATTCTTAAGGTGGGTGTCCTAGTTTCATTTCTGTTACTGGGATAAAACACCCTGATGAGACGCAGCTTGGTGAGAAAAGGTTTATTTGATTTACAGTTCCGAATCAGTCCATCAGTGGGAACATCGTTACAATCCAAGGGTCAGTCCATCAATGGGGACATCCTTATAATCCCATGGTCAGTCCATCAGTGGGGATATCCTTATAATCCCAGGGTCAGTGCATCAATGGGACATTCTTATAATCCCAGGGTCAGTCCATCAGTGGGACATCCTTATAATCCCAGGGTCAGTGCATCAATGGGGACATCCTTATAATCCCGGGGTCAGTCCATCATTGGGGACATTCTTATAATCCCAGGGTCAGTCCATCAATGGGACATCCTTATAAACCCAGGGTCAGTCCATCAATGGGGACATCCTTACAATCCCAGGGTCAGTCCATCAATGGGGACATCCTTAAAATATCAGGGTCACGGGGCTGGAGAGATGGCTCAGAGGTTAAGAGCACTGACTTTCCTTCCAGAGGTCCTGAGTTCAATTCCCAGCAACCACATGGTGGCTCACAACCATCTGTAATGAGATCTGGTGCCCTCTTCTGGCATGTAGGCACACATGCAGACGGAACATTGTATACATAATAAATAAATCTTTTAAAAAAAAATATCAGGGTCAGTACATCAATGGGGACATCCTCATAATCCCACAAAGAGTCCATTAAGTGGGACATCAGAACTGACTGCTCACAGCCAAAGTCAAAAGCTGAGAGAGAGAGAGGTGCTTGTGTGTGTGCAGCTTTGTTTGCTCCTGCTCATCTGAGACTCTCATAATTTATGCAGTTCAGGACACCGTGCCTTGGGAATGGTGTGCCAAGAGACTAACCTGATCTATATAACCCTCACAGGTGTCCAGAGACTGACCTGATCTATATAACCCCTCACAGGTGTCCAGAGACCGACCTGATCTATATAACCCCTCACAGGTGTCCAGAGACTGACCTGATCTATATAACCCTCACAGGTGTGCCCAGAGACTGACCTGATCTATATAACCCTCACAGGTGTGCCCAGAGAATGACCTGATGTATATAACCCCTCACAGTTGTGCCCATCAATGACCTAAGCTAGGTAACCCTTTGCAGGTGCCTAGAGACTGACAATATTATCTCAAGGTCTGCCCAGAGGCTTGTTTTGTGGGTGGTTCTAGGTCCTGACTAGGTGACAGTCAATGCTCATAGATGCTTATCATGGCTTCCTCCCCTGTGGCAGAAAGTGGCCATTGGTGTGGGTTCTGGGGGACAGAATCCAGTGGCTGCTGGTCTCCACTGGCAGAGGACATCATGGAGCAGGAATGTGTGGCGTTCTGAAACCATCAGCCAAAATAAACTGCCCAGCCTCGTTCTTTAGGGTACTTTGGTCACAGTGGCAGTAATAATGGATACATTCATGCATAGAGCCGGGGAGATTGCTGAGTGCCCCATGGATAGCCGTGGTGGCCGCGTGAGCTCCCGTAACCTCAGTGGTGTTGGGGATGGAGATGGGAGCATTGCTGGGCCTGGCTGGTTGGGGGCCTAGCTCCAGGCTCAGTGAGGGCCCCTGTCTCAAAGGCATAAGTCAGAGAGTATCACAGCAGCACACCAGATCCACTCAGCCACACACTCATGCATTAAAAACATCGTACAATACACACTCATGCATTAAAAACACCGTACAATACACACTCATACATTAAACATTGTACAATACACACTCACACATTAAAAACATCATACAATACACACTCATACATTAAACATTGTACAATACACACTCATACATTAAAAACCCAAATCAATTTGTAGCTACAACTGTGAGAACTCAGGGACTCACCCCAGTCATGGAATCCACAAAGTTTAGAGTTCAAGGGTCACTGACAACATCCCATGGATCCAGCCATCAGATCTGAGGCTGACTCGAGGATTTTAGCCTACAGAAAACAGCTCTGTGACCCTATGTAGCTGGCATGGCCTCTCTGAGCCCAGTTTTTTTCATCATCTTTAATATGTCAATCAAAATTCCCCCCTCAAAGATGTGGGGAAACAGATCATCATACCGAAAGTGCCTTGCACACAGTAGGTCTTCTACAGCTGGCGCTGTGGTTCATTCGTACATGCTACTCTCACGAGGAACATGTCTGCCCTGACGTCACAGCCTTGGAAACGGCTACGTGGGTTTACAGTGGATTTGGAAAAGCAGTTGTAGTGATGTGAATTCAGTCCCCTTGCCCAGCACATGGATCCAGGGATCCCCGCTTCAAGACCTGGAGCCTGTCTGGGAATGTTGAGAACTCTAGTAAGAAGGAGGCATCGAGAAGCCAAAGGGGAATCGAGGCTCACTAGAGGGACTTGTGCTCCATGCCTCCTTTCTAGCCTGCCAAGCCTTCCACAAAGTCAGCAAAGACCGTGGGTCCCCAGGAAGTCATCAGAGTTGCGTCAGATGTGAGACTGGCCTTGGGGGCCTCCCCAGGCTTACTATTAGGGTGAAATGGCCCGGACAGGATCGGGTGGACAGGACGCTATCTCAGCAGGCCGTGATGTGCTGGGCCAACAGAATACACCCATAAATAGGCCAGCCTTGGAGGCAGGCCAGTCTGGGGACAGCTGGTCCTGGAGGCAGGTTTGTTCCGGACTGGGTGAGGCTGGGGGATGTGCAGCATCGTGCAGGGTGCAACCTCGGGTCTCTATGAGTGCGTGTGGCTGGTGCTTGACTCATCTGAGGGTGGGGCTGACCTCCAAGACCCACGACTGCCTCTAAGCCTGGCTACAGATGGATCTGGGGACCTGTAGTGTCTGCGTGTCTGAGCATGAGGTTGGATCCCAGCTGTGTGTGGGGGCTCAGAACCAGGCTGCCAAGGACTGGGTAGCTCCAAGAAAGGGAAGGTATAGTGGGGCATTCCCACGAGGTGGGCTGAGCCCTGTGTCCACTGATGCTAGTTAGATGTGGAGCAAAGCTGCTGGGCACGATGGCCCTCACGCCACTGCGCCAGGACAGGTCATAAGGGAGGCATAGGTGAGGGACAGGAGTATGTGCAGGACAGTATATGTGTGCGTGTCTGTACACCCATGCTGGTGTCTATAAAACCTGGGTTCCATGTCTCTGCACCCATAGGCTAAGAGAGACTGTCAGGGTTCACTGTACAAGTGCCTGGAACACAGCAAGCACTCAATAAGATTGTGGCGTGGGTATCCAGCTTTATGCCCTAGGATGGTTTCACAGACCTAGCCTGTTTCACAGCTGCTTGGTCTGTCTGTCTGTCTGTCTGTCTGTCTGTCTGTCTGTTTCTCCTGCCTGCTGTGGTCTGCTCTTCACGCTGGCTGTGGTGTCCAGCCTTGGGCAATGAGGCTTCAGAGAGCCCATGGAGATACCAAGCCCTGTGAAGGGTGCATTTGGGGGGGTGCCGATCCAATCCGAGTCCTTTCTTCCTTGTGGCCTCAGTAAAGTGGTCTTGATTTTCTGAGCTCCTGAGATTCCCCAATCCCACTAATTGGCTCAGATGCATGGCCTCAAAGCAGGTACCTAGTGGGTGTTTGCTGAATGGCTGAATGAATGACTGTAGATCTTGATTCGTGGCCATGAGATGTGGGCAGCAAAGGCCTCACTACGGTTTGGTTCCAGCCACTTTTGATGTGGCTGTTACTGCTGCGTGGAGCCTGTGACCCCATTCCCTTCCAGTGCGAGGCAGAAGCGTTCCTGGAGACATGGCAGAGCCGCACAGTGCACCAGAGCAGGCTGCAGCTGGCAAGAGCCATGGAGGCCTTGGGGGCAGCTACAAGGTACAGGGGTCTTCACAGAACCTCGAGCCCAGAACTGAGGACAGCAGCTGACTCAGTGGAGCACAGGGCCACCAGGAATCAAGGGATGTAGCTTCTTTTCTGTGTGACTTTGTTGGAGTTTCTTGATGCCTCTGGGCGTTGACATCTTTAAAATGGAAGTCATTTCCCCAGTCCCAGAATTGTCATGAGATAATGCAGGTGGCAGAAGTATGGGCTGGAAGAAGCATGGGCAGTGTGACATAGCTGACTCTGTCCCTTCCAAAACATGCTGAGGCCTTAACATGGGGACATCTGAGGTGGGTGGATGTCTTGGTGATTTTAAGCAGGGCCTGTAGCATCGTTGTAATTTCTCACTCTGGCCCCCAGGGGGCGGTGCAGACCTGTGTGACTCACCTGGGAAAGCAGGTGGGCCTCCCTGCTGTTCTAAGGGCTCTCCAGGCCCTTGGAGCCCACCAGGGGAGAGCCTTCGTCTTTGTCCTTCCAGGTGACTGTGTACGAGTTGGAGAACTTCCAGGGCAAGCGATGTGAGCTCTCGGCCGAGTGTCCCAACCTCACTGACAGCCTGCTGGAGAAGGTGGGCTCCATCCAAGTGGAGTCTGGACCGTGAGTACATGGGCAGTGCCCACTGCCCCAACCTCCTGCAACTGGAGGCCTCAGATCTGCCCTGGGCCCTTGTGCAGCTCCCCGCCCTTCTTTGCCTCCATCTCCCCATTCATAAAATGACAGACTTGGGGCTTTAGATTCCTGTGGTGGATGGCAGAAACAGGAAGGAGGCCAGCGGGGGGGGGGCATATTCCGAGGTGAAACACCAAGTGAACACCAACTGTTCACAGAGCTCACAGAGATCCCCTTCCTCTGCCTCCTGAGTACGGGGATTAAAGGCGTGCGCTGCCGCGGCCTCATGAAAGTTCTTTAAAAACTAAAAAAAAAAAAAAAACAATAAAGTCATGTAAGAAGAAATGATACCATTAAATAGCCTCATCCTATGGGAGCCACACTCCTTTCTGTAACTGAGGCCAGAAAACAAGGTGTCTGGAGCCCGCCCCCAAGGCCAGCAGGCCCCGCTGCACTCACTGAGTTCTGGCCTGCAGGTTGAGTCCGGTGCTGAGACTGTTTGTGATCTCAGGCAGCATGTCTGCAGCTGTGTCTCCTCATCTGAGGACAGACAGAGACGTGGACACAGACAGTACATACAAAGTACAAAGAGAGAAGTGAGGGGCAGGGAGGAGGAAGGAAAGAGAAGGGTGACAGGGAGAAGGGGGGAGGAGGAAGCATGACAGCAGGACTAACCCACAAATGTATTTTTAAAATTCTGTTTATTTGTGTTTTATATATATATATGTTTTGCCTGCGTATCTCTGTACATGTACATGCAGTACTTCTGGTGGCCAGAAGAGGTCACTGGATCTCCAGAACTGGAGTTCAGAGGCTTATGTGCAGCCATGTGGGTGCTGGGAGTTGAACCCACGTCCTCTGTAATAGCAGCCAGTGCTCTTGACAGCTGAGCTATGGCTCCAGCCCCTCAGCCATGGAACTCTTGCTCAACCTATGGCAGGCAGGCACTGTGGGGGACTTTACCAAGCCCCAGGCCCCCAACTTGGCTGCGCACAGTTTTCAGGATATCCTAGGATAGGTTTCGGCCTAGGGCATCAGTCCCAAGCAAGTCCCTGCAGGTCCCCTAACAGCAGGCACAAGGGTCTGCACTCGGCTAGGGGTGGAATGTCTCTCCTTCCTGTTCTTTTCCCTGCTTGTGGGTCCCTGCTCAGCCACACCAGTGGTGACCCTGTCCCTTCCTCCCTCAGGTGGTTGGCGTTCGAGCGCAGGGCCTTCCGTGGGGAACAGTTTGTTCTCGAGAAGGGGGACTACCCACGCTGGGATGCCTGGTCCAGCAGCCGACGTAATGACATTCTCCTGTCCCTCCGGCCTTTGCACATCGTGAGTCAGGACTGTTGCTGTCCAAGTGTGTGTCTGTGTGTGTGCATATGCACCTTGCTCTGGCCAGTTTGGCCATTGCAATCCTTCCTGGACAGGCATCAGGTTTTTTACCTCAACAATGGTGTGGAGTGAGAAGAAGCTGGCTCCTGAGTGGGCACTGGGGCAGAACACTTGAGTCCTTGTCTTGAACTGGCAGACTCGCCTGTCAACCCCTTCATAGTAATCCAATTAACTTGAGAACCCTCATAGTTCAAGCTCAGATCCACGCTGTTCAAAGAAACCCAAACCTCAGCAACCCAGAAGATCACTTCAAGGCAGTTTACACTCAGCCCTGGTGCTTCCAGAGGGGACCGTGGTCCATAAGGACGCTAAATCACTGAAATGCCACCACCCCCATTAATACAGAAGCCACCCAGTGTTCCTCAGTGTCTGAGCAGAGTTCCTTTTACATAACCGAGGGGAAACTGGAAAGAAACGCTAGAGTCAGCCTAAGAGAGGGGAAGCTGGGCATGAGTCTTGGGGTCCCCTCTGAGCCTCAGTTTCCCTTTCTCGTGGCGATGACTGGTGGGAGGAGATCTATCCAGCCCCCTTCCCTGTATAGCTCAGCTCTGGGGTGTCTCTTGAAGAGGGGTGGGGTGACTCAATCTTTCTGTTCTGGATGTGGGGCCCACTCACCCTTAAGCTTTGCCCCCAGGATGGCCCAGACCACAAGCTGCACCTGTTTGAGAACCCAGCCTTCAGTGGGCGCAAGATGGAGATCGTGGATGACGATGTGCCCAGCCTGTGGGCCCATGGCTTCCAGGACCGTGTGGCCAGCATCCGAGTCATCAACGGGACGTAAGGAAGCCCCCCAGCCCCGCAGCTCCAGTTCCACCTCCTGGCGGCTGCGTCTTTAGCACCAGATTTACCACAGCTGCCAGCCCCACACATGAGCGACTCAGCCATGCTCTGAACCCATTCTCACTCAAAGCCCACAGGGTAGGGCCTAGTCCATGACCCTAGCACTCAGGAGTTAAGGCAGGAAGAGCAAGAGTTTGAAGGTGGCTTAGGCTCCAGAATCAGGTCCTGCCTCAAAAAAATCCAAGAACTGTGGCACCAGCAGTTGGTGGAGCTACCTCCAATCCCAGCACTTGGGAGGCAGAGGCAGGTGGATCTCTGAGTTCAAGGCCAGCCTGGTCTACAGAGCGAGTTCCAGGACAGCCAGGGATACACAGAGAAATCCTGTCTTAAAGGAAATATGTTCAGAACAACACTGTGCACATACTCACAGCCCCCTCCCTCCCTCCCTCCCTCCCTCCCTCCCTCCACTTGCCCCCTCTCTCCCTACTCTCTTAACCCCATCTCTCCTTAATTTCCTTCCCGCCCCTTGGGAATGCTCCAGCACCCTGCTTCTGCCCCGTTGCAGTTTCTAGGCAGCCTAGACCCCCTAGACAGTTTTGCTCTATTTTAGTGAATCACAAGGTCTCTACCCAGGTCTTTATGGCTGTCCTAACTCAAACTGATTGATTCTCAGGGTGATATTTTCTTTTTCTATTTATTTATTCTTATTTTATATACATTTGTGGTTTGCCTGCATACATGCCTGTGGGAGGGTGTCAGATCTTGGAGTTACAGACAGTCGTTAGCTACCATGTGGATGATGGGACTTGGACCTGGGTCCTCTGGAAGAGCAGTCAGTACCCTCAACAGCTGAGCCGTCTCTCCAGCCCCTCAGAGTGAGCTTCATCTCATGTTCTCTGTAACTATCAGGAACTTGAGTGAGTGTAGCTCTGAGCAGGCTTGCTATCTCTGCTGATGTGATTTGGGGGTCACAGAAACCCCAGGGCCACAACCTCAGGCCCACCTTGCCTCCCTTCTCCATTGTGGGTTTGGACCTGGGATGGCGCCTAGCAAGATGGCAGTGAGAATGTCCTCTAGCTGCTTCCAGAGCAGTCAGGGATAGGGGTCCCACGGTCAGTTAGCTCTTCTCAGGTCTGCCAGTCTGATGATGAGTGTGATGGGAACACCGGGGAAGGCGTTTCTGTGAGTTCCCGGGGTGTGTGTGAGGCAGGATCAGCTAAGGAAGAGCACTCCAGTCAGAAGGAACGGCAAGCGGGAAGGCTTGGATTCAGCCTGACCTGGGAGAATAGAACGGTGCTGAGATGACGTAGAGGGAGCTTTGAAAAAAGTGGTTAGAGTCTCACGGGGCGCTGGGAGCCAAGGAGGAGCCAAGGCAGGTGCCTGGCCAGAGGAGGGCGACAGGGGGGACCGCGACTCACCTGTTATTCTCGGCAGGTGGGTGGGCTACGAGTTCCCTGGCTACCGCGGACGCCAGTACGTGTTAGAGCGCGGCGAGTTCCGCCACTGGAATGAGTGGGATGCCAACCAGCCGCAGCTACAGTCAGTGCGCCGCATCCGCGACCAGAAATGGCACAAGCGCGGCTGCTTCCTGAGCAGCTGAGGATACGGATCCCAGTGCCCAACGCCTGTGTCCCTCCCGATCCTGCTCAATAAAACCCACCAGCCATGCCGCTCTGTCTGTGTCACTTCCTGTGGTGGGGCTGTGGAGGCTGGGCTGGAGGGGCCAATCCTGCAAGGAGGGTGAGTGGTGTGCCTCAGTCTTATCAGCTGAGATCATTCCCCCTCTGCCACAGGCTTGCTTTCACCACCAGTGCCTACATCTGAGTAACTGTCCATCTGTCAATCCATCCATTCACCTATCCACCCTTTCATATAATCACCCATCCATCCATTCACCATCTGCCCACTCACCCACCCTCCCATCCACTCACCCACCCTCCCATCCACCCACCCATCACTCCACCCACCCATCCATCACTCCACCCACCCATCCATCCATCCCATCCATCTATCCATCCATCCATCCATCCATCCATCCATTAGCTAATTATCCCTTCCATCTGTCAGCTCATCTGCCCTTCCATCCATCCTTCCTTCTTTTCTCCCACACTTCCCTGTGTCATTTCTCTGTCCTCCTATCAGCCAATCAATCCCATTGCCCTTCATTCTGCGGGAAGCAAGCCACCTGAGTGCAGGGCTGCCCTGGCTGAAGCCATTCTCATTTGCAGAGAAACGGAGGTGCAGAGAGCTGGTGTGCACTGTCCTGAGAAGCACAGCTTTCAAGGGAAGGACCAGGGCTCCTCAGCTACTGTAATGCCCACTGTCCCCACACAAGGGCTGCCAGTGCTGGGATGACCATCGCTGACCTGAGGCAGCCATGCCTGCCTTGCCTATGCAGTGAGCATTTCCCTTGCTCCAGGGCTGGAGCCCAGAGCTCTCTGCAATGTGGCAACTGGCTCTGAGGTCTCCTCAGACCCCACCAATAAACCTCACCAGAGCTGACTCTTGAACAGCTCCGGGTCCCCAGCCCTCGGGTAGAGCCTCCTTACCACTTTGGCAAATCCTGGCACCCAGGCAGTTTCTTTCAGGGTGTTTAAAGAAGTGCTTCTGTCTAAGGTAGCCACACAATTAAAGAAAACTTAGCCATGTCCTTCCTTTGTCCTTCCCCTAACCACACTGATTGGTGCTTGCTGGTTTGCTCTTCACCTGCGGAGGACAGAACACATTCAGTCCGAGTGCTGAGCCTGTTGAAAATAGAAGCCTAGGCCTGCCTGTCTCTCCACCTTGCCCCAGCTCCCACAAAGCCCTCAGCTATGGCAACATTGTATCACACCATTCTTTATGCGATAGTTAAAGGAAGGCCTTCTTACTGATTTAATCTGCAAATTTGTATGCAGGTGTGGGTTATAGTTGACTTTATTTCAAGAGACCAAGGGGTGTCACAAATGACAGTCATGGGCAACTGTTGATAGATTTGAAAATTCCTCCAGTTAGATAGGCTGAGAGGCACGTTGACTCCTGACTGCTTTGCATCTAAGGACTACATTGTGATGGTTCAAAAGGGACCCCAGAACCCGCATGGCCATGGGCATTGGTCAAGCTGGTTGTAATGACAGGTGTCCTTGTGTCCTGGCCAGTACGAGCTGGGCTGCACGTGGTGTTCAAGGTGGATAAAGACGGTCATGTCACCCCGCCACCATCTTAGAGCCACACGGGAAGAGAGCCTTAAAAGGCCTCTGATTATTATTTGGCTAGAAGGAGTCACATGGCCTAATATGCCTGCGAATGATGTCAGGAAGCCCCGATGACAACCTGCTCTCAAATATGTTGCACCTGTGTTCCCCAAGTCCCCCAATAAATGGTCCAGCTGGAGCTCTGGTCTTGGAACTTCCTTCTGGTAGAGACTTCTCTCTCTTAAAGGCAGTCAACACATGATTTCAGAGGACCCACTATGGGCTGAGCATATCCAGAAGATGTAGTGGTTGAGAAGCCGTGGCTCCCTTCCCTGTACCGGGCCCATGGTCCACACAAGGGTCACGCCATAGCAAAGGGCTTTGCGGAACTGTGTACTTGTCAGTTGTAAGCTGCACCCAGATGCGGTATGTGTAAGTTAATCCCCACCGAGTCCCCCGCAGGCTCTGTGAAATAAATGGGTGATGCTGGAGTGAGTGGCTGAATACAGAGACAGGCTCGGGCCACTGGACAGCCCTGTCCCACCGTGTCCTCCTTTGATGACGGGCTGAAAAATGACAGAACATAGAAGGCTCTGCAAACAGTGCTTGATCTGAGTGTAACAGCGGTGGATGTCTTCCAGAAGGGGTGAGGCCACCACAGCTGCCAGGCTGGCTCCTCTGAAGAGGGACTGGCACAGCTCTAAAACAGCCATGCCCTAGGTTCCACCCCCCCCCCCTTTGAAGAAGAAGGAAACCGTGGCTGCGTGGAGGGGAGAGGAGGGCTGTGGAGCTGCCCAAAGTTTCTGAGATGTTTTCCACCCATGACCCCTTTCACCAGAGATGAATGTGGGATGGATGAGGACAGGTCTAAAGGCGCATAAACAGACAAATATTCCTGATAAGGAATCATAAAGAAATTTAACACAATACTTTCTGTGTGCGTAAATTTGAGATTTATTATAAATAAAAGCAGTTTTTCATGCTCATGGGGTGATGTGTTTGTCTATTTTTGTGTTATTTATTTATTTCTGTTTGTTTTTACATACCAAAGTTCCCCCTCCCTCCCCTCTTCACAGTTCCTCTCCTACCTCCTCCCTCGTCTCTCCCCACATCCATTCCTCCTCCACTGTTTCTCTTCAGATACAGGCAGGTTTCCCATGGATATCAGCCCTCTATGGTGTATCAGGTTGTGTCTGTCTTTTGTTTTGTTTTCGAGACAGGGTTTCTCTGTGTAGCCTTAGTTGTCCTGGAAGTTACTCTGTAGATCAGACTGGCCTTCGAACTCACAGAGATCTACCTGTCTCTGTCTCCCCCGTGCTGGGATTAAAGGTGTGCATCACCATCGCCTTGGACATGTTTGTCATTTTTACATAGATGTTCTAGTGTTCTCTTCTGCCTCTGTGATAAAGCCCTCAGACATGAGGAAGGGAAACGTCTATTTCATCTTGTCCTTCCAGGCCACAGTCCTTCACTGAGTAAGTTAGGCCAGGAATTCAAAGCAGAACCCACCTGTGGAGGACTGGTGCTTGCTGGCTTGCTCTCCACCCATGGAGGAATGGTTCTTGCTGGCTTGCTCCCCACCCGTGGAGGGCTGGCTGGTGCTTACTGGCTTGCCCTCTGACTTTTTCAGCTGCCTTTCTTACACAGCTCGGGCCTACTTGCCTGGTGCAACACCACCGCAGTGGGCTGCATCCTCCTGCATCCATTAGCAGTCAAGATGGTGCCCCACAGACATGGCCGCAGGCCATCCTGATGGAGGCGGTTCTTCATTTGGGGTTCCCTCTTCTCAGGTGAGGGACACAATGAAGGCACAGTGTCCTCAGCCTTCCCTAATGCTGCCACTCTTTAATACAGTTCCTCACGTTGTGGTGACCCCCAACAATAAAATTATTTTACTTGCTACATCATAACTGTAATTTTGCTACTGATGAAAATCGTAATGTATTTTTGGAGACAGAGGCTTGCCAAAGGGGTCATGACCCACAGGTTGAGAGCCACTGCTCTAGACTGTGTGGAATTGACAATAAAAAGTCACCATGACAATGGGCAACCCACCAGTAGCCACACAATTAAATTAAATTAGCATCAAATGCCACTATTTCCTCAGCTAAGGGTGGTGCTTCCTATGTCTCTCCCCTAAGCATGTTAAAACGTCCTTATCTTGTGTAGGTAACCACAGCTGCTGTGGGCTCGTGTGTACAGTAGCCATGCCATGTCCACAGCGTGGCATTCTGCAACTCCTCCCCATCCCCAGTTTCCTGAGTCCTGAGTGGGGTAAACACAGAGGCCCCTTTAGGCCGGAGCCCTCAGTCACTTTTCTTAGCACGCTGACCAGCTATGCGTCTCTGCATCGACTTCTGCTCACTACAGAGAGCAGCTCCTTTGAGGTTGAGCACTCAGGTCTGTGGGTATGAATATAAATACCTCAGCAGTTTGACTATGTCCACTTACCAAAACAACAGTAGCATGTTCCCCGGGAGGGCCTGTGACCTTCCTACCCTGACCTCCTTCTGTGGAGCAGACCTTGGACTCATTTGAGAGCAGGTTATCCCATAACTGGCATGCCCTAGTGTACCCATGGACCCTGACAGATTGTGCTGTGGTGTGAAGGCTCTCCCAGCAAATAAGTTCTGGTCACTTTCCCCTGCAGCGGCCTGCTTGGCACCTTTGACACACCAGCAGGGATGGAGTTTTTCAGTGAGCTCCAACTTGGTTTCTCCATTGCAACCAAAACAAACATGCTTTTAAAGACAGAGTCTTAGGTAGCTCGGACTGGCCTCAGACTTGCTCTGTAGCTGAGGATGACCTTGAATTTCTGATCTTCTTGTCTCCACGTTTCCATAACTGCGATTACAGGAGTGTATTCCTGTCGTTGGTGCTACAGATCCAACTCAGGGCTCAAGTGTATGTAGGCAAGTGTGGGTCCCCAAGCCCCACTGGCCTTTTGTGCACCTGTGGTCCCAGGATGCGGAGGAGCTGGAGATCAGGGTCTTGGACAACAGAGAGGATGGCAGCTATGACCCTAGAGACTGTTTCAGAGGACAGCTCACTTATTAACATGGTGAGGCTAGCTTAAATGGGGGTAGGGGAGGGAAGAAGCCAAGGAGGAAGCGCTGCAGTGGGAACAGGGACTCTCTAAGCCCTCAGTCAGATTAGCAGGCTGTCATCCACATGATTTCTGAGAAGCCCCTTCCCGGGGGAGGAACAGAATCTTGACTGACTTCATCATGATTTGGCCTTTGTTTCTGTAGAGTTGAGTAGGGCCCAAGCCTGATTTGGGTAGAGAGCAGCCCCACTCCTGCCGTACTCTCTGAGAGATGTTTGGGGTGTGGGCAAGACTCTACCACCCCTCGTCTGACTTGGGAACCCACAGGCAACTCTGTCAACTGAACCCTATTCCATCCCCAGCCACATGTAAATGATTCCCACAGTGGCTACACCCTTTTGCATGCCGATTGCCTGGTGCTTTCAAGTTGTCTACTTTGAAAGGCTTGGACCGTGTCAGGCTCCAGGCTTTGAAGATGCCAGGCACAGCATGACGATCTGCAGGTGGGAAACGCACGAGCAGCAGAGTGTTGGCACAAGTGAGAAACAGCACGGGTAAGGGACCTGAGACGCACAAGTATGTGTATGTGATATGCGTGTATGTATATGTGTATCATGTGTGGGTGTGTGTGATGTGCATATGTGTATGTATGTGTACATATATGTGTACTGTGGTGTGTGTGTGTGTGTGTGTGTGTGTGTGTGTGTGTGCATCTGTGGCTGTTGAGAGGATGGAAAATGGATGAGAGAGGGAATCTGCCATCCTGGCCTCAGCACATCTCCTCTCTTGCTCGGCCTTGGATATGCACTCTCTAGAACGTGAGCCCAGGGCAGTGATGAGCCAGCAGTGGAGTTCTGAGAGGTTTTTCACACACTGGGACCCAGTTCTTAGGCACATCCAATTAAGGACAGTAGGTGTGGCAGCCAGCATCCTTAGGAAGTTCAGTCTCCTCAGCCAGCCTCCAGGCCGCCTTGTCCCTGCAGAACAGGAACTCAAACAGGGCAGCATCCTGGAGGCAGGAGCTGATGCAGAGGCCGTGGAGGGGAGCTGCTTACTGGATTGTTCCCCATGGCTTGCTCAGTCTTTCGGTCTGCTTTCTTATAGAACCCAGGACCACTAGCCCAGGGATGGCACCACCCATAATGGGCTAGGCCCTCTCCCATAATAATCACTAAGAAAATGTCCTACAGCTGGATCTTATAGAGGCATTTTCTCAATTGAGGTTCCCTCCTTTCAGATGACTCTAACTTGTACCAAGTTGACATAAAACTATTCAGGACAGTGTATGGGTGGCTGGATTGGCATCGAGTGTGTGGGTGGGTGGATGGATGAAGGCTGGTCTCTTCCTGAAGTCCCTCTTTGCTGGTTTTCCCCAGGATTACCGACAAAGCCCCTGTCTGCTGTGCCCCAGGGCCTGGTGACTGTAACCCATGAACTTGGCATGGCCCCATCCTGGCAGCGGGACGGCTGATGCATGCAAAATGGGCACACACTGGCGCAGCCGAATCTGAAAGCTAATGACATTATTGTGTGGAGACACAATGTCTGTGGGCATTTGCTGACCCGGCTTTGGTGTTGGCTTTAGCCTGCATTCTCACCCTGCTTTCCACAGGGATGAACCAGCCACCCATCTTGGCAGCAGCTCCCCTGGGGAAGGTATAAATACCACCTCCCACTGCCTGGGCTTCACGGCACTTGCGGGGGCTGGCGATCTGGTAAGAAAGTCCTGCTGCTTACTCTGCCCTTTGCTCTTCTTTCCCTCTTGTTGGAAATCGTACAGAGACCAGCATCTGGCCTCGGTTTTCCCTTCTGTTAAGTGGGGAGAGGGGTGATCTAAACCCCTCTGCCATGGGCTAGGAAACAGCATAGTAGACTAACCTGTGTACAGCCTTTCTTCTGCTGGAGATTGGAAAGGAAGGCGCGCCTGGCTCGTGAACCGGAGGTGGTCCTACCTTGGCCATGTCTAGGTTGCTGAACCAGCTTTCTTGTGTCTAATCATTGTGGCTCAAGCCTTGGGGAAACCTTGTGGGCTGGACCCAGCTGCACCTGCTTCTGGGCACTATGACTTCAGTGTCACTAAATCCCACTGGAAATGGCCCTAATCATGCCACCCTGGCTGTCCCCTCCTGGGTGCAGAGAGCGTTCCAGGGCCCTGTCAGATGCACACAGTTGTATGGAGTCCTAGTTCACAGAGAGGTTGAGGCACCTCTGTTGTTTGCCTGGTGTAGAGAGTAGGAAACTGAGGCACAGGGAGAGGGTGGGACTTATGGGCGCCGTTCAGCTGCTGGCAGGCAGAGCAAGCACTTGGACTGGCTCAGCTGAATTCAACACCTAAGGGTAGACAATTTGATGAGCTGAAGTAGACGCGGAAGTCCAGCATGACTCCAGAGAGCAGTTGTCTAGCAATCGGGGAGCAGCCATGGGGGAGGATTCTTCCAAAAGGGGGTTCTTCCACCTGGAGCGGAACTGGATCATAGTGAAGGGGAGGCCAGAGGCCAGGTGACTGCTTCTGGAACAATCTGGAACCAGGCAAAAGAAGAGGACTGAGGGCTGGACCGGAGTTGGCCCACACTCCTCTGGCAGCTTGACGTTGAGGACCAGCAAGGTCCTCATGCGGCCTCCTCATTTCTTCCAGGTCACCTCCACACCAGAGAGTTCACCATGGCCTCAGACCACCAGACACAGGCGGGCAAGCCCCAGCCCCTCAACCCCAAGGTGGGTACCCTGCTGGAGGGAGGGGCCCTCTGTACCCTGACCCCCAGGGGACTCAGTCTCTCCCAGCTGAACACTCCCTGGGGCAGGTTCCCTGTGCCCCTCTGCACCCGAGTGCTCAGTATCAGCTTCAGATTTTAGAGAGTTAACTTTCCCTCCTTATCTGCTGCCCAGCATGCTATTATCCACGGGCGACCCAAGATGGGGCAGAGATTCAGTGCCAGTTAGAGAGGATTCCCAGCCCCACTCCTGCTGTGCGGCCCAGGCCAGTGGCTTGACACAATGGGGAGCGTCTGTTCTACACAGAACAATTGTGCAGGCCCAGAAACCAGGCTCAGCCTCTACCTGTGCCCCCCACCCCCGCCCACTGTCTGTGCCTGCTCAGACCACTGCTTCACTTTCTGACTCCCACACTCCTGAGGCGGGGAAAGCTTATTCCAGCCTCTGAGAGGCTGGTCACACCCAGTCTGGCCCAGCCCCACCTCTTCGTTCCATCTTCTTGAACTTCACTTTCCCTGAGTGACAGTCGGCAAGCTGTCTTGAGGTGGACTGTCCTCAAGGAAGTCAACTAAACACTGAGTTGGTTAGAAGAGCCAGGGTTCACAGCAACTGGTGCGTCAGCTTGGTGCTTAAGGGGGGGCGACCTCCCTGGGGGCCAAGTGAGGGAGCGACCGTGTGAAAACAGGGGACAGGGAATGATGAGGGCGCGGGGCAGTGGGGTGAGCATGGGCAAAGGCCCTGAGCTTGCCAATGGGTTGGTTGACTTTGAAGAAAAATACGTGGCTGGGTGCAGTACTATGATGTGACACACACATATTGTGATGCCACACACGCACTGTGATGTCATAATACACTGCGTCATCACATACATCCACGGAGATATCACGTGTATATTGTGAATCACACATGTGATTAAGATCTTCCAACAGTCACAGTGGAAACTGTCAAAAGCATCAGGGGATTAATCTTCATGGTCTCCTTGGTTGAACAGTTCACCCCCACTCTGGCTGCCTTCAGATCCGTGTTTCCTCTGAACAGCACGTGTTAGCACTGACTGCATGTCCCGGGTCATGCAGCTGGTGGCTCTGCACTGGGTAGTGCATGGCGAAGGGTTGATCGGTGGAGAAGGATCTAGACTCCATAGTAACAACAGCTTTGTTGTTGTTGTTGTTGTTACTGTCTTCTCCACATCAGCAGCAGGGCACAGCACCCTCGGGACCCAGGACTTCTCAAGTGAACAGGGAGCCTGACCCTTCCCCACTGGCCCTTATAACCTAGGCCAGGTAATAGCCACTGAGCCCCCCTCCCCCGCTGACTTCCATATTCTAGAGTCTTCTCAATGCCCCTGCAGACAGGTTTCTGCCCAGTTCCTCCTTGGACTACACAGAGCAGGGGAACCAAAGCCTGCTGCTGTGCCTGGAGCGGTCAGGGACCGTGAAGGCTGAACTGAGCCCAGGGAATCTGCCATGAGCCCTCCTAGCCACTGCTTGGGCTCCCTCTATCCCGTTAATCCTCAGCCTGGGAAACGGAAGTGCCTCCTCCAGCCAGCTGACTCACAGGCCCTGCACCACCCCTCACCCCTCTCCTGTCCGCTTCTTCATCCAGAGGTGGCTGCAAGCGTCTGTCTCTGGGGGACAGAGCTGAGTGGCTGGAAAGGGTCCCTGTTCTCAGCACAGTTGTGAATGCGGACTCTGTCCATGTTTAGCTCATGACTGCGAGGCTTTGAGTGGGTCCCTTCACTCTGCAAATCTCAGGATCCTTGTCTGGATTCCTGCCAGGCCCCTGCCTAGGGCTGACAGGGAAACAGGGTGAGGCGAGGGGGAGGATTTCTAGTAAGAGCCATCTCGTATGGGAGGCCATGGGGGAGACCTGGAAACCTCCATGGGTAGAGGCCCAGGAATGTGTGTGGTGTCGGCAGAGGGGCACTCCTGGGAGCTGAGTGGCATCTAGAATATGGGGTACAAAACCCTAGAACCAGTGCCACGAGCCTCCCTTTTGTCAAGATCCCAGGTTGGTTCTCATGTTCAGTCTGCATACTGCCCACTACTTTCTGCTGCATCACACAAGTCCGGGCCGTGTACCCAGCCCTGATCCATAGCAGCTACCCTAGATGATGCGTTGTGGGAAGCTGGGGTATTGCTTAGCGGGAGAGTGGCTGCTGGATGTGTGGAGTGGTCCTGGTTTCATCTCTAGCACTCCACGGACATAAATGAGAGAACACCATGATGTCTCTCATGGCTGAGCAGCCCCTTGTGGCCTGTCATTCTGACTACTTCCTTGCCTCTGGTTGGTTCTTCCATCCATCTGATCGTCAGGGAGACTGAGGCTCGCAGAGCAGTGCTCCCAGGCTCTGAGTTCTGGCCCTCACTTATGCTCTGTCCCTGTTCTGACTCAGAGGGGCGGAGGCCTGCAGTCCCAGGGCTCTCCGAGCTGGCTGCTTATCTCTTGTTCTTCCCACTTTCCCGTTCCTTCCAGATCATCATCTTTGAACAGGAGAACTTCCAGGGTCACTCCCACGAGCTCAGCGGGCCCTGCCCCAACCTCAAGGAGACTGGCATGGAGAAGGCAGGCTCCATCCTGGTGCAGGCTGGACCGTGAGTATCTGGGTGCTCTTACCTAGCCCGGAACTGTCAGCCTGGTAATTGGGATGTTGAATTGGGGGTGTTTGACCTTTCAGTGCTCCTAGATTGTGTATGATGGGAGCAAGACTTGGGGTTTGGCATCCGAGAGGGAGTTTGTGCTTAGGAGGCTGGGCGCAAACCCCCGCTAGGAAACTTCTAGGCTGTGATGTGTCTGACCATGGACTTCCCTCTCGGATGCTCTGTCTCCTTTGTGTAGTGGACACCTTTGCCCTGTCTCTGCTCAAGAGAAAGGGGATGTAATTATGGGGACTCCTCTCCCCTCACCATCCAGCGACGTGCACGAGGGCCGCGTGTCTCTCCTCTCCTCGGCCCTCCTTTGTAAATGTCTTGTGAGTTCTCGGGGTACAGGAGTCCTGTACCAGCCAGGTGCCAAGTGTGATGTCTGAGTCTAATGGCCCTGCATAGGCAGAGTTGTTAGTACACACAGGGAGCTGGGCTCTGCCTCTCTGGAACACGGGCCTCCACCATTTCGAGCACGTCTGACCTCATCCCCTTTTGCCATTTTGATGGGAGAATTTCCCAAACAAATTTTTAAAATTGAAAGTAAGCTTTAGCGTGTTTGGTTACTTGTGTGTGTTGAGGGGGGTAAGGGCTGAGGGTGGAACCCAGGGCTTCACCTATGCAAGGCAGCCCCACCACTGAGTTATTTCTTCTCTATAAAACTGTTTAATATACAATATGTCTTGATTTTTAAAACTATTTTAAAATTGTTTTCTGGGTTTGTTTTGTTTTGTTTTTTGAGGGTCTCATTACTTAGTTCAGGTGGGTTTTGAACTCCCTGGTGATAGAATTCTGGGAAGAAAAATAATTCTTGCTTAAAATTTGTACCCAATATTAGGAAGGAATAACTCAGCAAAGAGTTGTGTTCCCCCCACTCCCAATTTTGACTTCAGACTACCAGTCAGGAATATCCATCATTAAGATTTTGGTATAAATGTAGATTTTTTTTTCCTGTGCATGTATTTGTGAGTTTTTTGAAAAATAGTACATTGAGGTGGTAATCGTGCGGTGTCTGTGGAATGCACAGAGGCAACAGGGCCTCCCCTGTCAGAAGTCACCCTTCATGGTGGCGGGCAGCAGTGCCACCCTGTCGGAAGTCACCCTTCACGGTGGCGGGCCGCAGTGCCTCCCTGTCGGAAGTCACCCTTCACGGTGGCGGGCCGCAGTGCCTCCCTGTCGGAAGTCACCCTTCACGGTGGCGGGCCGCAGTGCCTCCCTGTTGGAAGTCACCCTTCACAGTGGCAGAACAGTCTGAGGTCCCTATGCATCAAACCATGGGAGAGAGTTTAAGGTGCTTACTCGGGCTCCACCGCAGACTCCTGGGCTTTAGTGCTCAGGAAGCCACCTCAAGCCAAATCCTGGTCGTATTTATGTCCAGCTGAGTTTGTGAACCCAAACTGTCTGTCGTTGTGTGCGGTGGCTTTGTACGTGTTCCCTAATTTATCCACCCTCCAGGCTGTTGGGTGTTGTAAGACCGCCATGATGAATAGCTTTGTTCGGCGTGCCTGAGCTCTAACTGTTGTTCTTAAGAACACAGCACCTAAAGCCGCTCACAGGACCTGCTGCTCTAAGTCATCCTTTAAGTGCTTGAGACAGAGACAGTTGCCTCCCTCGCCGAGAACTTAGATCTGAACGGCCACCACCGCCACACAGGAGGAGAGTGTCTCTTTCTGCCATGGAGAGCCCCGGAAACTCCGCATTCGAGGTCCCCACTTCCTCTTCCCTACTTCTCCTTCGTCTGTGGGCCATGCCCTCCCAAGAGAGCGCTGTGGATTACAGGGAAACCCTGTCACATCCACAGGTGTCATGCAGCAGAGAGTATCTGGGGGGAAACCCCATCTGCTCCAAGCAAGTGTGTGCTCACAGTCTTCTGTTCCCTGAAGTGGGGTACATTAGTCCTTGCACAGTGCCCACGAGGCATCTGGTGTCCCAGGTCCCCTGTAGGTGATTTAGGGTGCACAGGAGGTTGTGGCCATTGTAGAGATGCAACTCGAGCTTCGTTAGATATCAGTCCAGGTTTTCACCAGCACAGAGCGGTCACTGGACATCTCAATAACCATGAATCTAGGAGTTAGAACCCTATGTAAAGGCAAGTAGAGAGACAGCGGGGAGAATTGAATCTGGAACCTGCTGTGGATGAAGCTGTGACCTGCATGACCTTGAGTCCCAGAGCTGTGCTCAGTGGCCAGCTGATGGTGCTCTCCTCTCTCCACGCCTGGCTGAGGTCACCCTGTCTACTTGTAGTCTCTAGGCTGAGGCATGCACACTGTGGACACCGGCCAGCAGCACTAGATAGATAGGGTCGTGGGGCTCTTGTTCTACACTCAAAACTGCTTATTACTTTCCCAGCATCCTCTTGGCCTTAGGGCACTAGGTGTATGTACTGTGATCTGTGGCCAGGCTGTCCTTCAGAATGGTTGCTTAGTTCTCCCATGTGCTGCAGAGGTCAAGGGCAGTGGGGTCTGGTTTCTGGATAACCGAGGTACCCTTGTGCTTAGCTTCTCTGTATTTGGGTTTAGGTGGGGCCAGTGCAGAGCGGCTGAGTGCCAGGGCCCTGCTGGCTGTGGAATGCCCAGAGAAAGACCCTTTCTTGTGTCTTGCAGTTGGGTGGGCTATGAGCAGGCCAATTGCAAGGGCGAGCAGTTTGTGTTTGAAAAGGGCGAATACCCACGCTGGGACTCTTGGACCAGCAGCCGGAGGACAGACTCCCTGAGCTCTCTGAGGCCCATCAAAGTGGTAAGCTCTTCCTGCTTTCTCTTACACCTGCACTGGGGCCAGAGGAACGGGGTTCGGGAGACTCTCCGCCCACACTGTGCTCTGGCCTAGGACCTCCTTTGTGGGGTGTGGTCAAAGGCATTTGGCCTCCTTGAACCTCTGTTTGATCATCTGCGATTAGGACTTCAGTTCTTGCTACCAGAGACTCCCTCATTCCTAGCACAATTCCAGGGGCTGCCATTCCCAGGACAACTCCTGTGGGCGTGTCCCTTAGGGCCAGGCTCAGTTAGCAATCATGAGTATTAAGAAATCCTGGGGTTTGGGGGAAGGAGAAGGTACTTCAGTTAATGTGAGCCTCTAATCTATTTCTGACCCTGATTCTTACTAGCATGTGAACTTTTGGGTAGCAAAAGGACTCAGCAATGCTCACTTATGTGCCCAAACCTTCCAAAGCCAGATTTGTACCTTCTGAAGCTCTGTAGAAGATTGGATCTCCCCAAGACCTGAGCTCTTATGTTGACTCTGCTCCTCTTAGCTGAGTGACTTTAGGAGAGTCACTTGACCTCCCTGAGCCTCAGTTTTCTGTGAGTCATATGGTATAAGAGCTGCAGAGAGGATGGGATAATAATTGAGAAAAACTTCACTGGGTCTGGAGATGGTAGGAGACCCTGCACCTGCTGGGGCCACTGGAAGCCTGCATGCTGCATGCTGTCTGTGTGCAGGCAGGTGCTGTTGTTTATAAAACAGAAAGCGAAGGTGGAGGGAGGGGACCTGGAATCTCAGGACCAAAATGCTCCCTGAGCGCAAGATCTGAGATTTCTTGTCCCATGCCAGTCACTCCATAGGCATCCAGTCACCAGCAGGGTGCTCGTCCCACCTCCCACCATGAGGTGGGTGATTGGCAGAGGTGGGTGAAGAGGGTGGGCTTCATCCACCCCTCCATTCACAGGACAGCCAAGAGCACAAGATCATCCTGTATGAGAACCCCAACTTTACCGGTAAGAAGATGGAGATTGTAGATGACGATGTGCCCAGCTTCCACGCCCATGGGTACCAGGAGAAGGTGTCTTCTGTGCGGGTGCAGAGCGGCACGTGAGTGTGACCCCAGACTTAGCCTCTGGGACCCCGAGTCCTCTTCTGCACTGAGCTCACTGGGTTTGGGGAGAGTCATTGCTTTGTCTTGCACCCACCCTCAGATCCTGGGTGGGAATCACCAGCCTGTGCTGGGCTGTGCTCCCATCCCAACCCCCAGCGTCTACCTGGGCAGGTGGAGGCAGCAGGTGCCATGAATGGAAAGATCTTAGCTCAGAGGGAAGAAGTTGGAGCTTCTGCCCCTGCAGACCCCTGAGCCTGTGAACAGACTCAAGGAGGAATTCCACTTTGACACATGACCTTGGCTGTGGAAATCTCACTGTGAGCGGTAGCACACGTGAGGTCCTAGGCGAATCCTCAGGCAATGTGTGCTGGGTGGCACATACAGTCGTCATCCTATACCCACAGCTCTGTTGCTGAGCTTTAACCAGCCATGGGTGAAACATTCTGGAAGCACACACATGCACATCCACACGAACCCACATACACACGTGGACCCAAACTAAACGCAGATGAGTTTTTTTGTTGCTGCCCTCAACAACACAGTGTAACGACTGTTTTCATAACACTGTGAGGACAGTAGGGCAGGGATAAGAAGTCACCTAGAGGGTGGTGCGGTTAAGACCACTTGCTGCATAAGCATGAGGACTTGAGTTCAAATCCTCGCCAACTGTGTAAAAGGCCAAGTGTGGCCCACATCATACCTGTCACCCCAGAGCTGTGGAAGGTGGAGACAGGAGGATGGCTGAAGCTTGCTGGATGCCAGCTTGGCTCCAGGTTCAGTGAGAGACCCTGTATCAAGGGAACAAGGAGGACAGTGACAGAGCTGGTCACCCAGTGTCTTTCTGTGGCTTCTGAGAGCCTCATCTGCACATGGCTGAATACCCGCCCCCCCCCCACACACACACGAGAGAGTCTGTCAGTGTTGGATCCATACCTTAGGTCATGGTCACAGACACCAAGGACCAATACACACGCCTGGGAGTGGAGTTGTTTGTGGTAGAAACAGGCATTGTACTAAGAAAGAGCAGAGCACTCTAAGAATGGGAGTGGGCAGGGTGCGATGGGGGGGTCTGGTTTTTCCTGAGTCACCCCACATTCCGGTGTCAGGAGGCTCTCCTCAGGCTCTGCCCCATGCAGCCTAAGCTCTCAGGGGGTTACCAGCCTACCTCTTCCATATTTTACCCTCAGTACTTCTCTCCTAGTGTCCTGCCTTGTGCTTTTCCAGACCATCCCTGACCCACTCCGCCACTGCTGCTGAGTGCTGTGGTCCCAGAAGCCTTTGCGAGAGAATCAGGGTGATGATCAGTCTGTCTGGATTCAGGTCCCTAGCAAGTGGCAGTTCGCAGTCAGCCCTCTTGACGGTTCACACCACAGAAACTGGTGGGCGCTTTAAATCATGGTGTTGGTTCCCCAACAAAGCGAGCGTGACCATGTGCCCTGGTTTCCCGGGGTTTGTCAAGCCCCACCAGTATAAACCTCTGTGTACAGCCGGCACCTGTCCTTGGCTGATTTAATTTGCTCACCACTGCCAAGTGTCATGTACTGTGCCAGGTACTCCAGATTTGAAGGCAGATGGGCCCTCCAGAGGTACAACTGTCAATCATTTAAGAGTCCACACAAATCTAAGGGGCTTCTGTGAGGCTCCTGGGCTGAGAGCTGAAGACAGGAGTAAGACTTGCAGGACAGAGAGGGCCTGAAAGGCATCCAAAGAAAGCTGCGTGAGGCGGCCCCGCAGTGAGAGGGAGAGGAGGCCCTCAAGGGCGTTCTTGCTCTCTGAGGTTGATGCAGAGGATGGAACGCAGGGCTGCTGAGCCGAGACGGAGGGAGGAGTCCTCTGGGCAAGTCCCTCAGCTTGGGCTGGGATAGATTTGTCATTTTCATCGAGTGACCTGGAGTTAGTGACACGCTGCCTGGAGAAGGCTCTAAAGGTGGGTGGGTGATGGAGTTCCATCCTCCCTCCCTTTCCTCAGGCCTTGCTGTTAGGTACTGGGTCAAGATGGGAATGTCCCGAGGAGATGCAGGGGCCCGTATGATTCTAAGATTTTGTGGAATTTAAGGTTTGTGGTGTGAGGTAGTGAGCTCCCTATCAGGAGAAGGAAGTAAGCGCAGGTTCAGAGTCAGAGGGTGGGGCGGAGAGTGGCATCTTGCCCTTTCCTCCTCCTCCTGGTGTCAGGACGCCCCCACCTGTGTCTCCTTTCTGCTCATATGCCCCACACCTCTGCCTGCAGGTGGGTTGGGTACCAGTACCCTGGCTACCGTGGGCTGCAGTACCTGCTGGAGAAGGGGGATTACAAGGACAACAGCGACTTCGGGGCCCCTCACCCCCAGGTTCAGTCTGTGCGTCGCATCCGTGACATGCAGTGGCACCAGCGAGGCACCTTCCACCCCTCCAGCTAAAGCCCCAACCTCCTCCCCCCAGGGGCCAGGCCCACCACCCCGGGGCCTCCTGATACCAGAGTGAATAAAGTGTGGCTTGCAACATGTCTGCTGTGGGTCTTTTATTGATGGTGTACCTGGGGCACACGTGTGTGCACGTGTGCATGTGGAGGGGAGGGAGAGGGGCAGATAGCAGGCATCTGGGCCGAGGTTTGTGATAAGCCTCCATTGAATCTTACATCTCTGCCATTCATTCCACAGCTGTGTGACCTAGAACACACTGGCAACCTCTCTGAGCCTCTGTCTATCTGGTTTACCACTCCACTGCCAAGTCCAGTGTGGCCTTGTATGGTCCTCCTCGGGGTGGGTGACGGGTGCCTGGTCCGCTTTCTGTCACCCTCACTGTCTGTCATCACTACAGAGCAGGGCATTGGCTTTTGTATCTGCCATGGATCCAAGGCCCTGCCGTGTCCACCACATCTGGGGAGAAGCTCAGCCACATGTCTGCGTGTGCTCAGGTTCCCTGCTCCTCACTCTGTCCTTGGGTTGGTTTTGTCTCTTGTGTGGCTGTCCTGGAGCTCAGCTAGGAGGTCACATCACAGGAGGAGGGAGGCTGTGAAGGCCTCACTCACAGGCTCTACCCCAGGTGACCTCTAAGAATTGTGCTGTTCCCATGAGGGATGAGCAGGGAAGGAGAAAACAGGCGTGTGAGGGCAGTGTCTCCTTCTCAAGGTGGATGCTGGGTCTCTCTTCACCTCCTCTGGTAGTTCTGAATATCATTTTAAAACATGGTGAGCTCAAATCTCAAGCTGCCCCCCCCCCTCTTCTTCCCAACCCAGGACACAGAGCCAGTCTCCAGTGCCCATGAGTGTTTGAGAGCTTTGCTCTCGGTGCTCATGTTCTTACTGTTGCTGGGGGTGGTTTCTGTGCCCTGAATGAATTAAGACCCAGCTTCTCCGTTGGTTTTCCTTCACTCGGAGCAGCCACTGAAGAGTGCAGGGCACTGAAGAACCCCACAGGGTTCTGTTCATAGGCTGTCTGCTCTGTCCCTATCATCTCTTGTGTATTCTGACCTTGTTGGTATCAGACCGATGCTTTGTAGGTGGGGTGACAGCTCCCAAGGTTAGTCTGGAGAATGCTTGGACACTCTTGGTCATTTAAACACTCTTTTGAAGCACCTCCTCCAACATGGAAAAATGAGAAACAGCGGAGGCATATCAGTCTGTGATCTGTCGCTGTAACAAAATGCCAGAGGCGAGCTACTCATGAAGAGAGACAGCGGTTCCACAGGCTGGAAGTTCAAGACCAGGCAGCACCTCTGGACACAGGGTCCATTTGGAAGGACAGGGTCGAGCAATGGAAGGGAGCCAATTGTGTGCAGAAGGGGCCAAGCTCACTCTGTGAAGGATGTCCCTCACTGTACCAGATACGATTCATGGCTTCCAATGATGGAGTCCCAATGGCTTTAGCACCCTGCTCTAAACCCTGCCTCTTTTTGTAAGATTAAAAATGTTTTTAGCCTTATTTATTTCACTTTATATGTATGAGTGTTTGTCTACATGCACATGTGTGCATCTCATGTGTGTTTGGTATCTGAGGAGGTTAGAAGAGGGCACTGGATCCCCACACTGGAATTACAGATGGTTGGAACCACAATGTGGATTTTGGGAATCAAACCCAGGTCCTCTGCAAAAACAGCCAGTGCTTTTAGCCACTGAGTCTCTCGAGTTTCTCAGCCCTGATTCTCCTGAAAGGTCCAAGCACCACACGGGAGGTTCACTTTCAGCACCTGAGCTGTGGGAGAGCCATTCAGCCCACAGCAGGAGCAAATCAGTGCGTTCTAATAACGCTCATGTCCTTGCTCCTTCTTCAACCACCACTGTGAAGGCGCTGCTTTCTTCCTGGGTCTAAACAAGATGGGAGTTGAGCCACAGTAATTACTATGGATGAATCTGCATTATTCACGAAGTGCAAACCTGGCCGCAGGAACTCATAATGGGGGACATTCTTTTGAAGTCGGTTGCTGCAAATATAACACAACAGTGCCTGAGTAGGGAGTCCCTAATCCAACATGAGGGTGTCATTATGCAAAGGGGAAACACAGACATGAACACACAAAGTCATGGCGGGTTGTGTGTGATCGTTGGTCTTCATGATCAACCTGATGGGACTGGAATCACCCACGGGACACACTCTGAATGAGTCTGTGCAGGAATGTCCAGGAAAGAACAATTGAAAATGATGATGGCCACTCTCAAAGGGGGGGCAGCGCCTCCTAATAAGAGGTCCACTGTGGGAAGCAGGGTGGGCCCACCTGCTTTTGCCCATCTGAACGAGTGTCTGTTGCTGCTGCCATTGTCCTGCATGGACACCAGACTCACCACAGGCCCTCCTGGACTGCAGAGCTGTACCAGGGAATCTCTAGCATCCCTGTGGACTGAGCAGCTTCTTGGTTCTCTGTTTGTCCAGTATGTGAGCGGTCGTTGTTGGACTACTTAGCCTGGCTATGTGAGCCAACAGGGATAAATCTCTTTTATTGTGTCTTTTACTACTTCATTACAGAGTTGGTTCTTTCCCTCTGGGGAACCCTGACTAACACTGCACTAAGAAGGGTGCATTGCTTTTATTACCCAAGGAAGTCCTAAGACTGCTGGGACAGGCTCCCTGCAGCCTGCAGGAGTGGACTGCCCCCTGGCACTTCAGTCTCAGATGCTCAACCTCCAAAACAACACCCGTCTTGGTCTCTGTCCCAGCACACTCACATGGCAGTGGCAAGAGAAAGGAGACATCCCTGGACCAGGTGAGGGCTTCCCAAGAGGTGAAATGTTTAGAGGCATGGAATTTTCCGGGTGAAATCGAGGTGAGAAACAGTCTCAGCAAAGGGAACAGATGGGAAAGTGGGGCGAGCAAGAGGCACAGTGAGTCGTCTGCCCCCCCCCACCAGGCATGTGGGAATCTTGAGATGCGGGTCCTGAGAGATTAGGGATGTGTGTGTTGATGGCAGCAGGGGTGGGTGGCTCCAGGGAGAGCGCGGCTCCTCATTGACCGGTCAGCCTCTCACAAGGTGAGTGGTCAAACTTCAGCAGACATTCTTTGCTTGAAGATCGCTAATCTGGGAGCCCAGGGGGTTGTCAAGGATGACTCTCAGCAGGGAAGGGCTCACAGGCTGAACGTGGCTGCCGGCTGGACCTCAGCTGTGGCTGTCCTCTTGGACACCCCCAGGTGGGTGTTTCTTGGTGCGCTGGCCTCACCACCCCAAGGTTTCCAGGAGTGGGTGCCCCAGGAGGAAGATGCGGCCGACTGTCATCTTTGTGACTGGCTCCCCATTCTCTAGAGGCGTCAGGGTCATGTGGGGTTGCCCAGGTTTGGGAGGAAGGAACACCGTTCCCACCAGTCGTTAGGACATCTGGTGGTGGCCATCTTCAGAAAACACAGTCTTCCATTGAGGCACTTGGGATGTAGAGAATGGGCTTCCGTGGGGCAGGGCGGAAATCTAGTGTGTGAATTCAGCAGAACACAGGCTCTCTTGGGTCTGGGATTTCCCTCTGTATGCTGTGATTACCATTGATAAATAAAAGAACTGCTTTGGGCCTATAGCAGAGCTATAGGGGAACAGAGCTGGGGGGGGGTGGACTAAATGGAATGCTGGGAGAAAGGAGGCGGAGTTAGAGAGAAGCCATGCAGCCCCACTGGAGCCTGCTGGAACTTTACCCAGTAAGCCATTGCCACGTAGCTATACACAGATTAATGGAGATGGGTTAAATTAAGATGTAAGAGTTAGCCAATAAGAAGCTAGAGCTAATGGGCCAAGCAGTGATTTAATGAATACAGTTTCTGTGTGATTATTCCAGGGCTAAGCAGCTGGCAACCAGCCAGCAGCCTTCCTTCAACACAGGACTAGTAGCTGGTCCGAGTCCCTGCCTCCCCTCCCATTGTCTGTCGCAGTAGGGTGTTGTCTGCCCACTACTTTTGTTCTCCCATGTCCATCCCCCAGTTGTCCTGAAAGCCTCTTTTGGTCCCCAAGGACCCGCACCTTTCTCAGTTCATCTGGGAGCCATTTCCCCGAGCAGCCACCAGGAGTCAGCAAAGCGCCATCTTCGGCGCGCCGTCAGTCACCGAGTTGGGCGGGGCCTCGCGCCACCCTGGCTGCAGAACGCTGCAAGGCTGAGTTTCTGGGGTCCCACGCGGGAGCGCTTGCGGTACACTCTCCGACTCTGAAAACACAGGTTACCTACAGGGAAAAATCAGTGTTTCGTCTTATGTTTCCATCCCCCAGCCCAAATATTAGGACACAAACCACCGCGGAGACAAAATGAAAAATGTTTTATTCTTGGCTTCCGGGCGACTGGCCGGATCACTAGGGGTCGCTCGGCTTCTTCTGGGTGTCTGCGCGTGGCCGCCCACGCGCCTTTCGAGAAAAGAGCTGGATGGGCGGTGTCTTCCACAGGAAAGGCCCTGCACATGTATAAACTACAGCGCCAAACAGCCTCCACGAAACTTCAGGAATCTGAAATTTTAATTTTATTCTCGCTTATACAAAAAAGGACTCTCTTTGACTCCTCCCCCTCTCCCAAACATTTAAAATATAAAAATGTTGTTCCAAAGAAGTTGATGTGTGGCCTTGGAACACACTCTTAACCTAAACAGCACGTTCCCACATGGTGAGGGTTTCCTAAAGGTTTGTAGTCACAAAACAAAAGAAAACCACAAATCAAGGCATTTTTCAAATATTGGGGGTGACATCAGGGAGGTGGGTTACAGCCAAGTCGGGTCAGCGTAGCTGCATCTCAGATGCGTCTCTCAGCTTCCTCAGCCTGTTGGTTGGACATCAGCGTAGCTGCATCTCAGATGCCGACTCTCAGCTTCCTCAGCCTGTTGGTTGGTGGACAGCTTTTCTTAATTGGGGCTCCCTGCTCTCAGATGACTCCAGCTTGTGTCAAGTTGACATAAACTAGCAGTGCTCAGACACAGCTTCTTTCCAGAAATTCTCCTTCACAACATGGACCAGGGACAACTCTGCCACAGGCGTCAGGGGGATGGCTGCTGACACTCTTAGCTCTCAGCTAGATCTTAACCTCTTCCGGAA